ATCGCAAAAAGGATTAAAAACTGCCATTGTAGGAAGCACAACAAGTTTACAACACCCTATAGACAGATGTTTTACGATTCAACCACCGAACATTATTCTGAATATACAACAGCCCCAAATGAGCACTTGGAATTAAAACGAAAAGTTGAAGAACAAGAGTTCCAGTTCAAAGTTCGCGGGCATTATTATTTTAAAATAGGTAAATAATAAATGAGCTTTCTTAATCTTGGGGCATGAATGCTCGGGGAAGAATAGCCAACGGGCACGTAGCGTCGCCGGCGGCTGAGACTGAACATGGTAAAAAAAACTATTAATAAAATCAGAGTACGGCACGCGACTGCGCTGCCCGCACCCCGTTGCATCGCTGTGCACCGTTTTTTCGAGCCCCTTTTTATAAGACGTTTTTGTGCAAATCTCGCTGCCATTGTGAATCGAAACGAAACCGAAGCCCGATCGGCGAACAAAGATTTTAAAATAAGAAAAAAGCGAAGCTCGCACCTGGCGGGAAGACGCCGTTGGCGCGAATATCAAAAGGCCATAACCGTCAAAATAGTGTAGTCGTAAATCAATACTATCCCCCAATAAATAAAGCCTTAATTGCTCGCGGCGGAACTACGCGCATAGAGATAGCGGCCAAACAATAATTTGAGGATAAAAGCACAAGACATTGAGTAACGAGAAGCAAAGAATTACAGGGGATCCATTTTTTGTCATCTGTAAATGCAGGTGATGTTACTGTTATAGAAATCGTAAAATTCAATTATTGTGCTATTGACAATGCGAATTTGGAGCGTCTCGAATGCAGTTGCCATGGAGAACGCCGGGAGGGAATTAGAGAACGCTCCCTTTAGAACGTTTGCTTGCCAGTCGTAAAGCGACCACTCTTACAAATTGGTCGTAAATTATATGGATAAGTGAATATGCAACCGATGAGCGGCAAACTCTATTATTATGCTTACTTCGTCGCAATAAAATGTTCGTAAGCACACTCGAAATAGTTAAGCGTTATTGTTGTCGGATTTTATTACTCCCATCAGATATAAATGTTATTTAATCATTAAAACGATGTTAAAGTTACATAAAATAGCAAAAAATACTAGTTTTTTAATATCCATAAACAGAATCATGTCTAGTTGTTACAACCAGATGTTGATAGCATCGTAACTTAAAAAAAACAATCATTGTCCTTAACTTTCACTGTGAATTATAGGTGCAATTAAACATAATTATTACTAAACAGTGGTGGGTCGAGCGTGTCATTATAAAAAAACGGTTATTAACCTTAACGTAAAGCTGATGCTACATAGAGGTTCGGCCGGACATTTCAACCCAGTATATAATATTACCTAGGTAATTGAAACCTAGAATAAACTATTGCAAAAACAAGAAACTACATATAATACGTTATAATACCTATTACCTATAGACATAGCAATGTGATGTTATAATGATATCCATACTAATATTATGATGGCGAAAGTACGTGTGTGACGTCAAGGTAAACTGCCACAAATTATCACAAAGACGCATATAGATTAAAAATTTTCTCAAAAAAAAGCAGAGGAAGTCACGGTTAATAGTTAGTCATAAATAAAAATTTATTATGTGATTTTATTTATAAATATTTTAATATTTATTATTAAGTGTCTGACTTAGGAACAGGTACGCACTAATCGTAAAGTAAACAAAATAGTAACCACATATCCACATAGAACTATCCAATATTAAAACATAACATATTTTTGATTTATTCATCCTAATTAACACAAGTTACAGGTTACAGTCATTGTACAATACTTTCTGATTGGGAGAAGGGGATTGTTAGTAATGTGTACTAATAACCTCATTGCTAGCAATTTACCATGTCAGATTGACCTCTACGCAGTTCCCCCTGGAAACCATCATGATAAATTCCTGGTGAAATTGCCACGATGGACTAACTGACCGGACCTCGTACTCATCTTATCATCCACTACTGGTGCCGCGCAAGCGTAAACCGTTAATATAGGTGGGTGCACCATTCCATTATCATGTAAAAAAATTGAGACCCCGTAGATGACACGGCCCGCCCGTTGCATGCTATGAACAAACAACGAACATTCGTACTGAGCACTCAACTCATTGAGTCAAAATGTCAAGTAGCTCAATCGTTGATTTTAATATGAACCGTATTCCGTATAATAGACCACCTTCTTCCACTTCCTTTAAACATTATCCATTTCTGTACAACGTCCGGTGGGCCCAGTGCTTTGTTTGTAAATATAAAAACATTTTATATGTTAAACGGTACGTGAGTCACGGCCAGGGTTAGTCTGTACGAAGGGTTAAGTTACATTTTGAATGTGTGCAACAATGTGCTGAACGATATTTTAAACAAGAATAATCTCTCAACAAAAATTTTAGAACACACACGAACTCCTGCCTTATTACTATATTTTCCAGGTGTACTATGTACGTATATATTTACAAAACATATATATCTTTGTACTTATATCAATCTACCACAGATAACACAAACTCTTCTTAGCTTGGGACTAGACAGCGCTGTAAAATTATTGTTTTATGAAATTGGAAAGAATAAGCAAACTGACAGATCATTTTTGAAATATAGTATCCGTTGCCTATACATAATAATATGACATAACACTGTCACAGGTATCATAGAATCACTTTGTAGTCCAACTAATGGTTTGCAATTACATTAACATAAAAATTCTAAGACCGACTCCAAAAAAGAAGGAGATTCATTTATATACCGATTTGAAAAAACTTTTCTTATATGAAAAAGTATTCTTTCAGATTGTTTCAATTTTTCTTTTTTAGTTTCACGATTTAATCAATCCTAAAATAATAAATGCGAAGGTTTCTATCTGTTTTTTAATTTTTCCCGACCTCACAGATGACTTAATAGATTTGACGTGAAGACAGATTGTATAGTGGGCACGGATATGCTCATTTGAAAAGAATAAGAGCTGAATTTCTTGTCAGTTCTTCTTAGCACGAAAGCACTGCGAACTGGCGGTGGATTTGACATAGTCTAAGAGTCTGTGATAGACCTACATGAATAAAGATATTTATATTTTGCTATATTCTTTCTCAAAAAGAAAACATACTCGTGAGTAACAACTAGTAAAGTATAATCACTCAATTAATATCACCTTCTTTTTTAGCTTTTGTTTTCTCTAATGAATTTGTAGTGTCGTAAGAACTGTAGAATCACCCGTTCCAGTCGTAAAACATACTTCATTGGTTACTACGAGCATTTACAAGTCCACATCGAGTTCGTAGGTGAAATTATAAAATTTAATAACGCATTACGTATTCGTTCTTTGTAATAGAAAGGTGCGTGTGATCGTAGATAACGTCAATTATTGTAACAAGGCACGAAAACTGTATGTGACATTTATGAATTAACAAACGCATCAGAGAATAAGAGTTTCCAGTTTGTATACATTAAAATCAGTTACCGAGTAGAACCGTTTTAGGTAGCTGTTACGTTTATTCCGTTATTACAAATCAGAATATAATATCCACCACGATAATATAAACACTTATATGTCATAAGTTTACTTTTTTACATGTTTTGAAAGTTACATGTCGTTGTTTTTAATCTCGCAATGACCCATAAAAATACACGTTCTGTCAAGATGTAATATTCAATTACGATTGTTATTATGAGAATTTTATTAATTCTTATTACTGACAATATTCTTAAGAGAAAATGTAAGCTTACAATATTGAAGTTTTGGTAGAAGATCACTTAAAAATATTGTTTATATAATTGTATTATATATTGTAAATATATATGATATTCGTTTTACGGTTATAATTTCTGCAAAATGCAAATGGTATATAATAGGTAATATAATTTAAAAAAAAAATGTTATTTATATAAAAAGCTTAACTTCTATTATTTTTTTGTCATTTCCAATTAGAAAAAAATATCTATTAAGTAGTCTATAGCTGCAGCAGAACCATACGATATGTGAATTCGTTCAACGCATCGAAAATTAAATGGAACTTACAAAATCTACACATACCGACGCGTTTCTAACTGGAAGTCGATGTTCGTATTCAAATTAGTAAGAACCGAATTCCGATACGATAAACGACGTTCAAGGTCATATACCTTTGAAAGAGACTACATATATTCTTAAAAAACATAGCGTCTGCCTTTACGAGTACACCTACATGTAGATTTACATAGATATATAGATTTTTTTATTGGAGGCTTCGTGACAATTTCACTAGGAATTTATCATGATGGTTTCCAGGGAAAATCGCATGGAGATCAACCTGACATGATACATTGCTAACAATGGGGTCATCAGTCCACGTTACTAACAATCCCTTTCCTACCTACGAAAACCAATGTAATTCTTATTAGTAATTTCTAGCCAACAAAATCAAGTGTAAGCCATTTGATAAGAATATGTTAATTGTCTCATAGGACTTGCCATTCCGTCATACTTGAATTGCAAATAAGCGGACGGTTCACCTGATGGTAACCGTCGCCTATACACACGAACAGCAACAGGGCGTTAAAATTCAAGCAATATAGTGCCGGAGGACTACAATTTCATGAGGTCCAGTAATTTTACAGCCTCCAATTGAAATATATCTTATAAAGCAAGTTGTTTGGCAGCTGATATAGATTAGAAACAAGACAACTTTGTAAAAACTCAACTTCGGACTCTGAATAAACCTATGCACGGTATAAATACACTCGTCAAGGACGGTTCTCCGACATCATAAAATAGTGTGATGCTCGTGGTACCTCTCGTTTGATGCTATTCGTAACGACAAGGTCTTATCCCTCCCTAATAATAATTGTAAATACCGTACTGTAACTAGGCGAAAAAGAATATTCAATAGTTTTATATAAAATCGTAACTAGTAGCGACATCTATACAAAAATATACGAAACATGTTTCTATCTATTCGCCGTTAGATGTCGCCGTTACAGTTTAGAATACAAAAGCAAAGTGAAAAGCACTTACCAGCGCCATCTGTGAGTGAATAGCGAAACAAGTTAAAACTTGCTTAGCGAGGATTCCAACAACGCCATCTAGCGAATAACACTGCATCCAATGCGCACATATAAATACACTGAAAATCAACTTTTCGACGTTCACTATATTTTTCACGTTTTATAATGGTCGATGATAACACAATTTATATTATTAAGATGGTTCACCATATTACAATCTGTTATTTCACAAACTACACTATTACACATGAGGTATTGCATCATCGGTGTATTTATCTGGAACAAATAAAAAACAATTATTTATATTTTTTAAAAACATAAAGCATTAGCAGTCACTTATGAGTTTTGTGTTTTAAAAATAATATGATTCAAATTCAATTCAAAATTGAATAATTTCTTCATATATTTTTGAAACATAAATATCTTATACTTTAATCTATCAGATAACCGGATTTACCAGAAGAGACCTAACTGCAGTCCTTATATATTGTGGTCACAATAAGGGGTGGATGGAATATATTTACAGCACCATGAAGTTTACTTCTACTCAATTTACTTGAGTGACATCCTCACTTTTGTAACTAGTGGTGGTGGTGACCATTTACCGTCAGTGGACCATCCTCTGTTTTCCACTCTAAGCAGTACAAAATATCAATAATATTTATATTGATACCAATAAAATCATTATTAAAACATGTGTCAAAGTACAATAATAAAATAATAACCTCAAAATAAAAAATACACAAATTCATTATTTTGTTATTTAATAACAATAATGCAACAATATACTAATACTTTGAATATAATAACACACACAAAACAGGAGTCAGATAAAAAACAAACAATCACAGTATTTTACCGACCATGTGCTATTTTAATATAATCCATGATTTAAATTAGAAACTGTTTATCTGAATCCAATATAATGTAAGCAACGCAAGTAAAAATAAAAGAACCTCTATAGTATAAGTCACATAATGCTAAATAAAATTGTGTGTATTATTCATTAAAAAAAAAACTAAATGTGCTTATTATTTTTATTTCTTATGCAGAAAACCTTGAGATGTTGTGTTACTTTATTTGAACCTAGTCAATTATTATTAATAATTCATATATTCCGTTTAAGAATATATTTTTTATTGTTAGTAAATAAAGGGACAAGTTTAATTATTTTATATGGAACTAAATCTGATATGTTATTAATGTATATATTTATTGATGTACTATTTTCAATCCAATAACAATAATGTAAATAAAATGAATACTAAATAAGAAAACTCATTTAGATAACTATAACAATTCTACTGCCCATTTACCAGTATTTATACTGCATATTTATTACTTATTTCTGTTAATAAATAACAAACATTTAATAAATAATGTTATATATTATACATACAGATGAGGTATTCTTATATGGAAATTGCCAACGTGACTTAATGGTCATTTCATCATCACCACATCATATCATCAACAACACATTACTTTATTTCCTTAATCTATTATAATATTATAAGATATCCATAAAACTGAACTATTACTAAATTAATACATACCACTAACACAACAGCCGAAACTTGAGGTCTTCGGGGAACAGAATCCATTTTATAACCTGTTCTAAATAACCAAAGTACACTAACAGCAGTCAGCCTAACAAATTCGGCTATACTTTTTTTATTAGAAATCGCGATTAAATATAATTTATACTACCGTCAAGTACACTGTCAAGGTTGATAATTATAAGGGATAACTTTATATTTCACTTGGCTGAAATACTAATAAGTTAGCCTGAAAAATGCAAGCACGTGCACTCAAAAATGCAACTAGGTGCACCATACAAATTTTGTCTCGTTACCGACCGGTACACTAAATGAACTTTAAGGAACCGTTGAAATTGCCTTTCTACGTAATTACTAATATTTTTAAACACGTGAACTTTGTAGTCAATTTGAATGGGGTTGAAAAAACTACACAAAGAAAACATATGATCGATCGAATTGAAGTGCACATGGATAAAATATCTATGGTCACCTATCTCGCCTATTGCCTATCTGTCATTTCGTTCATTTGTTGTGTGCGGTTCAAGAAAATAAATTTCACTAGTATAGAGGGCACCACTGGCAACTCAACAGTTTTTGTATGCAACTTCCATAAATCACATTCAGTGCCGTATTTTTATGATTAACATCGAATATAAATATAGACAGTTCATTTTTAGTATCATAGCAACTGTAAATGTACTTTATTGTATTCTTTTGTTGGGAATAGTCTATTGGACAGATTATCAATGAAGATTTTGTCTATACAACAGCGTGAACCAAACCATGTTGCTCTGAAACCTATTTTTCAAAACCTACCTTGATATATGTATTTATAATTATATTATTTCAATATGATGAACATCTGGCTAAGCCCAGTAAATAAGATTAAACTAATAATATTAAGTTATACTTACAAAACCGAAAAATTGTAAAAATTTTAGTTTTCAGGACATTGTAACACCGGACATTGCTGTTAAAGCCTGTAAAAAAGAAAGAAATACAATAATAAACTATTTCAGTTATTAGTTCTTACATAACGACTTTTAAATTAGTTAACTTACTGGATCATTTTCCACCCATAAACTATCAAATTCTTTTTCAAATTTTCCCACAATATTAGGGTGTGACGTTACAATAACACTTTCGTGGTTTGAAACCATAGCTTGAGTGGACCAATTTAAAGAGCCAGACATTACAAAACCTTTAACTGATTTAGGTTTCGGTTGCTGTTTTACTATCATTTTCGTATATTTTGCGTGCACATTTAATTTTTCTGCGTAAGCTTTTAAAACGTTTTTTCGTTTAATCGCTTTGGGTCCATCAATAATGCAGAACTTATGGTGCATAAGTATTGACTTTTTGTTCGTTTGCACCTGTATGAAGCCTGGAATAAGAAATAATTAATTATTTAATAATTATACTTGTAATATTTAGATCAAAAATAATTCAGGATTAATAGAACTTACTGTATTCTTCTAATCTCTTAATTTGTGATGGCGGTGTATGAGCCATTTCACTGTCAGCAATTATCCTTACCAAAACATGTTTTTGTCCAAGCCTTATTATTTGTTCAGCTATTTCGTTACTAGTAATTAAATACATACAGACATCCAGGGTCTCACGTGCTGATTTGATGTATTTGATTAATTTAAAGCAATTTAACTCTCTGCTTTCACATATTGTTATATCTTTATTAGGCGGGACTTTAATTGTGTGTCGAATAATGTCATCTGAGAATAATATCACATCATTTATTTCACGATTCTTGATATTTAACTCCTCAATGCGTGTCTCGTCATCATTTATTTTAGTTTGTGAATTTTGTTTCTTTGTGCAAAAGTACTTGTATACTTTTTTTACGACTTGAGAAGCGATGACCGCAGTAGCTGTTGATGCCAAAAGAATCCTTGTGCTTTTCCAATCCATCTTTGAATATTTTGATGTTATAAAATTCTAATTCACACAAAATAGAGTTTCAACTATGCTTTGGGTATCCTTAGTCCACCATGTTGTCCACGCTTTTGATATAAATTACCATGATAATTTGGCTACCTACTTTTAATAAATTTTAAACCTACCCTCCTAAAATATTTAGAACGTATTGGCAATAATTACGTAGAAAAAATACATTCTGTAAGATTGCCAACAAGAAAATAAATATATTTCCTATTATGTTACGTTTTCAAAGCTACTTTCTAAGAATAAGTTAAGGTGTTTATAATTATCATCCTAAACTTACTAACCTTTACTTAGTACACTAGTTTTTTCATATTAGTCACGAGTCACTTTCATTAATGACGGTCTTTACTTCTATTAACTTTTTATTATGTTTATCTTTAAAAGAAAAGGCAAAGGGAACCGTGTTCATACAGCCATATCTGTTTGTTGACGGTCCTTATATAATAAAAACTAACATCCTTCTATGATAACTTGACATTACTTGACAAGCCCTAATCAGCTCCATCTCAGAATCTGCGCACTTTTGTTGTTGCTACTTGCTACTTTGCTTGTTTCGTAGACTGCTTGCACTCGCGTAATATATTAGAATTTTAGAATACAACAGACGCGAATTCATCTTTATTAGATAGATATATTATTTCAGTTTCTTTCTTTAATTAAATAACAGAAAATTGATTGTTTCTATTTAATATAAAATGCATGATTTAAATTGTGATTTCGAATCTGTTACTCCTGAGATATGGGTGGCAAATGAAGAAGGATGGCGGGAAAAATTGTTAACCTTACCTAATTGGTATCAGGTGTGTAAATCATAACAAAATATTAAATTTATGTGTATGTTTGAGAATCGGTGCATAATATGTGTATGTGAGAGAAATCATTATGATACAACTAGTATAATTATCATCAAATCGCATGATCAACCACATAACACAGACCTTATGGTTGTTTTATAAGGTTACGGAGAGGTCATATTTTATATTGTTTCTTGTTTTGGCTCCTAAAAATATTTTAAATACTTATGTTAAATGTTTTTGGGATTATATAGTTTGTTTACATTGTTAAATTGAAGAAAGAAGAAATTGAACCTATAAATATTGCAATAGTCTATACTAGTATGTAATATTGTCTTATATCTTGTTTTTTTAATAGATTAATAATGGTGCTTATTAAATACATATTCTAAAGGTGTATGTTGGCAGAAAACTAGTGAACAATGATAATATAGGCTGATTTAGTTACTTGTAAATATCTAATCTAATCTAATCCAATCCAATCCATAGGAGTGAAGGGGATCGTTAGTAATGTGGGCTAATTCCATTGCTAACAAAGTACCATGACAGATAGCCCTCCATGTGAACCATTGTGGTAAATTGCCATTTGTAAAGATGGGCTAACTGTCCTGACTTCATGATCATTTTATCATTCTCCACAGCATCCCATTTTTACCAATTAAATAAAACTGTGACCATAATAATACATTGTAGGTTTCGATGTATCTGTGAAAGTCTGTAATAGTTACAATCTCTGTAATGCTGTAAGAACACAGGTATATTTGTTACAGATACCACTCATTAACTGCAACGCTTCACACAACCTCTCTGACAGCAAACTAGTCAGGTTCCGTGGCATGATCCAGGACATGCACAATCCAGAGTTCTATTTTGAACAATTTGAAGTTTATAACACAGTGACCAAAGAGATTAAAAGCAAAACTGGGAAATATCGTGATACAGCCAATGTGACGGTAATTATTAAATTAATTATTTTTTTTATAACAAATTTGGCAATCAAGTTTCTCTGGGATATCCTATCTGATTGAGCATGAAATAATAGGGATCTCATTTTTGATATAATATTAATAGTATTAAAACTAACTTAAAAAGTTATCTTTTGGCAAAGAAGTCTCCCTCCCTCCCAGTATGTTTTGTTTTTGTTGTCTATGCGAATCTGTACCATACACAATTGTGTGATATGTATGAAATTATATTGGCATATTTCTGTTCTGGTTTTAATTGTGTGGGTTTAACAAATTTATTACACCCTCCAACTATGATTTTTAAAAGTATGGTTGCATTTTTAATTTGTATTTGATAGAATTATATTTATTTACTTGTGTTAATATAAATTTATAGGAAAATGAAAAAATAAACTACACAGAAAACTTCAAAGGAGCCCAGCGTCAGACCATGGTTGTTGTATCTATGCCTGGCTTAAGTGACTGGGCACAAAATGTTGAAGAAAAACAAAATATACTAAAGCATTTAGAGCAACAACCAAACAGTTCTAAAAGACTTCAGTCATGTACCAAGTTAAAAAGAAGTTATGATGAAGCAGAGGATGATACCAATGCTATGGAAGTGGGTGAGACAGAACCTAGTAAAGAAATGAAGACAAGTGAAACAGTAAATCACACATCAAGTGTACTTTCCAGAGAGCATTTACTAAATTTTCCATTACCTGATATGCCCAGTAAGTCCTGTATTGTAAAGGTAAATGTATAATCTTTTTTAAACATATATAATATAACTAGCTGACCCCGCAAACATTGATTTGCCATATAATTTAAAATCACTATTAAAAAATAGGGGTTGGTGATAGAAGGGTGAATATTTAGTATTGTATATATTTTTAATATCACATTATAAAAAAAATGACCAAAATATATATAAAAAATTAGGGTTGGACGACCCATTTCACTTAGGGGTATGGAAAATAGATTCTCAGACCTACAGAATATGCATATAAAATTTCATAAAAATCAGTGAAGCAGTTTCGGAGGAGTATGGTAATTAACATTGTGAGAATTTTATATATAAGATAATTTCTAAAGATTTTTAAGTTTGGTCCAAAACACAGACTATAAATTCTCATCATTGTCATAGTAGCAATCTGTTTTTATAATAATAATAATGAAGAGGAAGGCGATTGTTAATAATCTGGACTGTTGACTATGGTTGACTGGCGACACCATTCGATTGTCACATTGTTGTTATATCCCACCCGCATTACAAATACTTCTATCAAAAGTCTTCATTGGCAAGGTTAATGCTAATGGAACCGAATAATATGAGCATTTTGTTGTGTAACAAATTTTAAATTTATAGTAATAATAATCATCTATATTGGTCTAAATAATGAACTCTTACAATTACTGCTTATAATAAAATGATGAGGTATTAATCAAGACAAAACAGTCTACAACTCAGAGGGGGAGTGAGTACATCCTCTCTGTTATTCTGTTATAGCCTTTATTGGTTACATTACAATAAATATTATAGAGAATTTACAATAACACCATTTTCATAGTGGTTTTTTTTATTACAGTTATATGAAGAGAATAACAATATTAAATTAAATACCATGATTGAAGTAATAGGCTTCCTATCTGTGGACCCGGCTCTATCCGGAGAGTTTCAAACCGAAAAGAATCCATTGGAACCAGAACTGGAGACAGATGCTGAAACAATCACACACAATCCTCCACCCAGCTTAGTACCTAGAATTCATGCTGTACATGTGAAGATATTGGAACATTGCAATCCGTTAGTGAAAGATAGTGTAGATAAAAGTAAGTGTTAGCCTCAGACTAATAGACATGTCTCAGATACATACAACAAAACTGAAGTTGCAAAATTATTGTTGAAACAATAAACAAATGTACTGACTCAGACAAATGTCTTAACAAATATTTCCAAAAATATTGGTCACTCCTATCAACTAGCAAGGAGGAGTCTAACACTTAAAAAATCTAACGAAAATAATAAACACTAAAAAAGACCATGATTGTGGTCAGTATATAAATTAAATGTTATATAATTTGTTCCATTACAGCACAATACAGACATTTCTATTCATGGGTTTAACTAATTGTAGTAGACATACTATACAAATGATAGATATAGTTAGTAGTTTAGTATGTCTAGCAAAAAGCTGTGCATAATTTACAACTAGATGGCAGTGTGTTAAAATGTCTAGGAAAATTCAATTTTTTATAATATTACTGCCTATAAAATAAACAAAAGTTGAATGCATAGTTGCCAATAAAAAAATGCTATTTATTTCATTACAGGTGCAGTGTTGAATGAAGCAGGTACAGCGAGAGATCATCTCATGAAAGCACTCACTGAACTACTGCTTGGAGATCAGTTGGCTGCAGAATACCTCATTTGTCACCTCATTGCAAATGTGTTAGTAACTATTCATTTTTTATTTAGCTCAATCAACCATACTTGCATGGGACAATGAAAGTAATCAAAGAGATAGTATAGATGTATCATATATCATTACTCTTGTAATCCACAACCGCGACCTCGTGACTCCGGCAATGGTGATCGTATGTACACTGTGTGGTTTTTTGGTGGGTAAGTATCCCACACACCCCATTGTTACCCCTCCACTGGGGAATGGACTTCTAAAGATTTTTTCTCACGATAGAAAAAAAAAACTTGTAGTCTACAATCACACAATTACAATTTAACACTTGATAATATTGAATCTGAGTCTGGTATACCAAAAACAACTAAAGTTCTGCACTAAAATATACTATTACTAGCTATTTTCACAGTTTCACCCGCGTGAAATTTTAAGCTATGTGTTATTCTAATGTAAAAAATAAACTATATTATAGTAAAGTTTCATTAAAATCCATTCCATAGATTTCACATGAAAGAGTAACAAACTTCCATCCCCATTCACAAACTTCCACATTTAATATATTAGTAAAAGGATACATTTCTGCATCTCCTCAGCATGACAGACTCACAAACAACATTGTGACTTCAGTGGTATCTTTCCGTTGCTATAGTTGAGGACTTAATTTGTATGAAATGTTTGAAAGATTCCTCCATATGCTGTAATTTTATTGCCTATATCATGTCTTCATTTAAACCACAGCATAACTTGCGTAGCAAGCTACTGATGTCAGAATTAATTGAGATAGAGGTACACATAGATTACATTGTACAAACATTTCACTCAGGAAGATTTTGAAACAAATCGCCTGCGTCATCAAGCAGCTTTTTCAGATGAAGGGCAGTGACATTACAGGATAAGAGTCATGACTTTTTTTTTCGAACTACTCCAATGCTGTTGGCCGCAATTGGCCTTTACAGCTTCACCGGACGTTAGGGGGCGAGTGCAGATGGCACTCCAAACCTGCGGAAGGACTTATGAAGCGGCTGAAGGCCAACTCCTGCCTGACGGATACGACTTTAGTCTGAGGGCACCACTAGGGTTCGAACCTCGGCTCAGGCCACAGTAATATCGATCCCCGTTTGAATTGGACGGGGGATCGATCGGAGAGGGAACAGTCATGACGTCTTAGTCCTCAGTAATAGCAAAACAAGAATATTGCGGGCGTCACATGATAATGCAATATCAGTTCATGTATATAGGCAACTATTACTACTTACCATCAGGTGGGCCATCAGATTTTTTGCCATTCGAATTTTTATAAAAAAATCTATTATCCTGTTATTATATTTTAAAGAAAACTTCTTTTATAATAATGCATTTTGTTTCAGATATCTTCGTCAAGACACAATGACACTTGGTCAGTTTTGTCTGAACATTTCCAATCTACCAACTGAAAAGTATCCGAACTATGCTAAACAGTTGTATGATATAATCAAACAGTTTGTCACCAAGAGTTACTACTTGCCATTGACCATAGAGAATATGAATACACTTGCATTACTGCCAAAGTAAGTTACACGATTTTTTTCAAATACATTATTCCTCTTGCCTATTAAGCCCCACTTTGCCATGTTGCACAAAAAAACAATAATCATCTACTTCTTCCTTATCTCATTTATCGGTCGGCGTAATATGTTTTACTCTTCCATTCATCCCTGATCGAAGTCATTTCATTATTTACTCCTTTTCTTACTATAGCATCTTTCACACAGTCTATCCATCTCTTTTTTGGCCTCCCTCTGCCCTTATAACCATCCACATTCATATGTAACACAAAAAACAATAATAATATTGTTTATTGCATTTAACTACTTAAGTAGTTAGTAAGCATATAATGCAATTACTTTTGTTACTACTTAAGTAGTGTATTAGCGTCTGGACTATGTGTATCTTGAAGCTGGAATAGGTTTTTTTTATAATAGTGCAGTTGATATGTAACTTGTTGTCTCAGGAGAGAGGGGGAGGGGGGAAGATACTACTGACCCGATTGATAGTAATATACTCTATCTGGTGACTTCTTCTAGAAATCATTGCACATAAAGTTCTGTTGAATTCAATACAATTTACTGACTTGGTTTTAAATCAAATCATATTTATTTTCGATAAACGTATGTGTACATTAGTTGTTTTTGTAGAATATAATATGCCATTATGTTTTGCTTGTTTAGACATGCAATTTTTTAAATTATTTCGTTTTTCAAAACATTTGTCCTCAGAGCACTTACGAATACATATCATTATCCCATTACTAGGCATTTAAATACTCATTTTTTAATTTATCTGTCCTTAAATGTTTGAAAAACAAGCTTTATTTGTTTTATAGGAAGGACTATGAATGCAACCGTTTAACAAGTGGCATCCTACAACTCAGCAATCACACCCATCTAGTTTTAGACGAGACCAAGATGGAACAAGGTACATTAGATGCAACCGGAGTTGGCAATATTACAGCATTAGGCAACATGATACAAAATCAAAGAGTCGAGTATGACTTCAAATATTATAAGATGGATTTTGACTCTGATATACCAGTTTTAATATTATCAGAAGGAAAGTCTTTGTTACCTGTAAGTTTATATTTCTACTACAGTACTTTCAGTAGATAGAATTTTATTTCAACAAATTAAAATCTATTCCATCATGTAATCCACTTTTCAGGCAATTAGGCATTTATTCATAAACAATTTTCCATGTAATTTACAGATATAAATACACAATGACATAAACCACATACATATTTATTATATAACTGGATATTGTTTCAGAGTGATTACCATTTGCCCCTCAAACCAGAGGATTCGTCACTTGAGATTTTCGATGCAATTGTGGAAGCTGCCACTTACTATTTAAAAGAAGAAATCATGAATATTATTAGGGTTTATTTAACTAGTCTTAAGCTTGTGAAGTATACTATGAATGAAGATTTACAGGTAAACATTTATTTATTGTAATATAGTTTTTTTTAAATGGATGATAATGGAATGATGCTCCCGTTAACGCTAAGGGTTTACGCTGGCGTGCACCAGAAAAGATGATAAGAAGATAAGATAAAATTTATCGTGATGGTTTTCAAGGCGTACCTGTGGTAGGTGGTAGGTGACCCAACATGGTGGGGGGAAGGGGATTGTTAGTAATGTTGGCTCATGACCTCATTGCTAGCAATGTACCGTGCCAGGTGATGACCTCCACGCGGTCCCCCCTGGAAACCATTGTGATAAATTCCTGGTGAATTTGTCACGATGGGCTAACTGACCTGACCTCATGCTCATCTTATCATTCTCCACTGGTGCCCCGCCAGCGTAAACCGTTAGCGCAGGCACCCGCCCATTTTTTTTAGTGGATGATAATGGAATGAAGGGAATACACCAGTATCATTCCATTATCTACAAAAATAGACCCAACATGATACATTGCTAGGAATGTGTCAACGTCCACATTCTCTAACAATTTCATTCACTTCTCGCTGTGTAGTTATATCTTAATGAGGTAGACTTACAAAGATGTAAAGTTATCTGCATACACAGGTATTCAGCTGTCTCACCTATTACAGCTGGCTTTATGAGCTATTGGACAGCGGAAATATGTTTCAGTTGAAGAGTTAAATAAGGCAGGGCAATTCCAGGGTTTTGAGGCTGTCTTGCCTCAAAACCCTGTAGTAGTCCTCTGAAATGTTAACACTGGTATCTACATTGAGTCACACGATAATATGATGTCTTGGTATACTGTTCATATATATATAGGTTATCACTATTCTGTTTGTTTACCATTCAAGTATATTAAAAAATAGCAATTTTATTGTCGTGAAGACTACTGGTAACATATGAGTACATTTTGTTTCCATAAAAAAACTTTATATTTGTATAATTGAATTGTCAACCTCCTTTTTACAGTCGGTTGAAAAATCTATAATTACTATTTATTTTTTTAGTTTGTTGAAGATGATTTTATTGAAATGCGAAGCACTTCAGACAGCCAAAATTCTGTAACTGCCGACGATTTGCACAGGCTACTCGTACTCGCTCGGTTGGTAAGCCTGTCCCGAGGGCAAAACACATTGAACAAGGAATGTTGGGACATAACTAAATCTATGGAGTCTCAGAGGCTGCAAAGACTAAAAAACAGAAGATCCGCGGTTTTATAAATGGAATTTTTGATATTTTTTTAATTAAATTATGTTTAGAAATATAGACGTTTTATTTACAATAATTTCATTGAATAATATAATTATAATAATGCTCCTGGAATCATTATTATTCTAAACAGTTATGAATATAATTGTGCACCGTGTGAGACAACGAACCCGCGACCATTAGAAGTAAAGCTTTATGTTAAACCGCTATACCACCGAGGTTTCCACTACTTCAGATTTCGCGTACTAATTGTAATGAAATGAAATGTATTTATTTAAATACATTTCACTGAAATTACTAACACTTTCCTTTTGGTATGTTTACTTTACTTATCGCTAACGCTATAGCTTTGTTGTAACACCAAATACTTGTCCATCAGTGGAAACAACAGAAGACAAGTCTTGTTATCGATGTGTCATATAAATTATATATTAAGCTTGAAAAAAATTGTTTTAAAGTAAGATTAACTTTTACAATATTGATGTCAACATTTGGTTTTATAATAAATTTGTTGGGGTGTTTTTATGGTTCTAAATATTGTATTATATACTGGCAACTTTAATATAAGATTGTCAACGTGACATTATATATTTGACGTCTGACGTGTACCAAAATATTTCAGATTTTACTCGATTGAATGTTTTATTGATTTCTTTAATTTTATGAATTATATCTTTATTGTAAATTAAAATTAGTTCATTTGTAAATAATGTCGAATAAGAACAAATCTCTTGACGGTGCCAATAAGAATAAAATAAGTCAATCTGTATGGAAAAAAACATTAACTGCCAGAGCAGAGTGGCCTGATAAGGTTAGTTTTTAATATTTTTAAATATTAATAATTTCATGGATTTAAATTGTAATTAATATTATAAGTGCTAGTGATTTTGTTACGCTTTCACGCCTAAACCGCTGAATCGTTTATAATGAATTTTATTATAAATATGAGATACACTAGACCTTGAGACGGTTAGTCTTTTTCTCGTAATTATTTTCTTATAACATAACTTAAAAGAATGAAAGCTTGTATGGAAAATTAATAATTTCTTAAATAAGAATTCTTCTGTAAGCTATATAACACTAATCAGAATCGTAATATAAGCTACTCAAAATACTATGGACTGTTCAGTCATATATTTGAATAATAATAATTGAATTTAATTCATTAAAAGTTCTTGTTTTTGTTTTAGGATGAGTTCTTGGATGTTATCTACTGGATGCGGCAAGCTATTGGAATAATTTTAGGCCTATGTTGGGGTCTACTGCCTCTAAAAGGGATTGTGGGGTTGTTACTGTAAATATCATTTTTTATTTCTTACAATATTTGAAATTCCTAAATATACAAACATCAAGTTTTGTGTGAATCACAATTTTATAATATAACTAATATTATCATATTGTGAAAAACTTGTTTATGAGAAAGTTAATCAAACATCAATAATGTCTTATTAATTGTACTTAATATTTAATTGTAAATAACACTAGTAGATGTTTTTGATGGATGCATTATGTATACACAAGATAACTGTACAAATTATAGTATTACCAGATGTAGATCTGTAAAGTCTTCTGTATCTATCCTCCTTCTCACTAGTCCTCCACCTTAATATTACCTATTTCAGCTGCTAAACAACTTGCTTTGCAAGCTGTGTTTTGGTTGTAATATACAGATTAGGCAGTGTAATTACAGGTTAAGAGGCATGACATCTTAGCCCTCTAGAATGGCAATGCATGAGAGGTGTATAATGTGATGTCTGTAGTGCTGTTCATGTATATAGGAATATGCCTACACCTCACCAGCTAGGAAGTAGGAACAATCTTATTTGCCATTCCAATTGCATATGTAAAGATGTGATAAATGTGCATATATTTTAAATGTTCAAATGTTCAAATTGAAATTCAAAAATCATTTATTCAAGTAGGACATTTTAGCTGCTTATGAACATCAAGTTTTTACATTATAATTTTTTTTTCTCACCATCCAGTTTGGTATATAGATCCAATTGAGAAGAATTGGCAAGAAACTCAATTGAATTACTTAAATACAATAAAAACACAATTTTGGCTATTTCATAAATAGATAATTGTTTTACAGATTTGTGGTTGTGAATGCAGCAGTGATATACTTTTATGTGAACAATTTCCAAACTGTAGATGATGAAGAATATGGTGGAATGTGGGAGATCACTAAAGAAGGTTTCATCACATCATTTGCTGGATTTTTGGTGAGATAATTATTTCTTTATTACATTTTATTTCTATTAATAAGACTTGATCTAACAGTGATGCCTTACTGAGTAATTAAATAGATTGTTGATGATTTAAAATACTTTGATCAAATTTGTAACATGACTAAGTATTCAAATGTTTTAAACCACCATACACCATATTATCTTTAGAATCTCATTTTGACAATGACCACACTATATTATTAGACAAAATATATTTTTATATTTTTTTAAATATTGGTGCTAATTTAAAACAAAATAAATAATATTATGATAGTATATACATATATATTGTGATGTTATTTTTCAGGTCACATGGATCATTGTGTACACTGGACTACACGGGAATAACAGTTTATGAGACTCAAAGTAACAGTAGCTTGTGCTAGACTTAATGCAAACAGAGACTAAGTACAAAGGAGTGGGATTGAATCATGTTTGTCCAGATGTGTCAGTAGGCAATAAGATCAGTAATTATGCTATTCTATAAGTTGGATATTTGTTTACTGCAGTTTATATACCACCTTATTTATAAAAATTCAAATGTACTATAAATCCAATTCGAAACTATCAGTTCCTTACTTTGGTACATTAATAATATCTTTATATAGTCACTAATAACATTAATAAAATATGTAATAACATAAACTTGATAATGTTGTGAGAGTGTATTGCATCATTTCAATATGATTTTTTTAACAAAATTGTTAAAAATATGATGCTTTAAATGCATAAAAATGTGATATTCCAATATACATTTCACATTAACAATATATCTTAATTAGAGGAAGACATGTACTGTTGCATAGATTGAAATTTAATAAGGTGGTAACACTGAAATGTATAGCAATAATGGATGCTGCTAATGAAATATAATATTTAGATTTTTAAATAATACAATATTTTATTAATGTATAATCACAACTTGGTATTGGCAATCATCAAAGTAAACTTGAGAAAAAATTTATTTCATATGTAACTTCTAAATTGACACAAATTAGGTGAAAATGTTATTGTATATCTACTGATCTACATAAAAAATATGGCTGAATTCTTTAGTATTTTCAAAACTGGTAACAAATATTTTTAAAAGGAACAAAGTAACTGTATTTGCTTCTTTGTCTCTAATTCCAGTTTTACTTGATCTTAAAACAATATAAACATTGTTTTAAAAGTTATTAAAACATTTACTACATTATTTAGTTATTTACAACATCAAAGTGTTTGATAATCTATAGGTACCTGCAAATCATTCTCTATACTGTTGAATGAAATTTGCTATGTTTTATTGAACATTTCTGTTATATACAATTCTACAATTATAACCAAAAAATTGTCTGTAATAACGATTTAATTTTAGAGTATTAAATTAAATATATTTTTTTGTTGGAACACGTAAACGTATAACTAAGTATCCTCACGATATTTATTTTTTTTAAACTATGTTTCGCACTATTTCTTCTGTTTTTTTTTTAGAGAAAAAAAAAGATAGCCATGTCCAATTGTCCATGCCAGTGATAAAATCTTTATCTTTAAGACCCGTTAGCCGATTCGTCATCAAAATATCACAAACAGACAGACACATTATGGCATTTATAATATTGGTATGGATTATTTAATCAGTGGGTACATGTGTATGAATACATAGATAAATCGGAGTGATGTATGTAGAATAGAAGTTAGATGTAAATTGAACTGTGTGATGGTGTATTATTAAATTTGTAAGAAACCAGTGCCCACATAAAATTGTTTGGTTATAATATTTTGCGAGTTTGTTATGTGTTACAATAATGTATTTTATTATTTTCCAAATCAAATTGTTTTATTTATAATATTTATTGTTGTCAATTTTTATTTGCAGTTCAGTGGTGTGAAGTATTTATGTAAGCTAATTATATAATTGTTAAGTTTTATCAAATATCTTGTAATACTCCTTTGAGTTATATTTAAACAAAAATAACGATATTTTATTTATCATTGAGCAGAGCAATAATAAGGTACATAAGTTTTGTACAGACTTGTTGCTTGACATTATCCTTCTCGGTTTGAAGTTTGAACAAATATTGAAATGATTGAATAAAGGTTTTATAACTTTCAGAATTTTTCTTTTTATATAAACACTCATATCGCTTGTTTTTATGCTTTATGGATTTTGCACACACATATTCTAGCCTAGGATAATAACAAATTAATTTAAATGGTGTTATTTCGCCTAAATAAAATTTTTATTAGTATATGTATTTATGAAAATAATACTCAATTTAATAACAGAACCGAGGATACCCAAAGTCGACTGTGGAGCATCACATTGTCACCTATTTTTACCACCAAGCAGGTTGCTTGTAAATTTTCACCTTACGTTTTCAATGTTGAAATATAACGGGATTACGCATAGGGTAAACACGACCAGGAGTCTTCAGTAATGCCACGCATTAGTCCATGATGTCCATTCAAGTATATAGGTGACGTCACTTTGCAACAAATTGATTGTCTGCTTAATTACCATTCCAATAATATTTGAAAAATGAAACCAAGTATATAAAAATAAACATTTATCAATCATCTCGCCAAGTAACAAGTACATCGTCAGTTCTATATCGCTGTGTGATGGTAGAGTCGCTAAACTCCATTCTCGCCCCGGATTCGAAGGCGACGGCGCCCGCGTGAGCAATCATGATACCGTTGTCTATGCAGAACCGTTCGTCCGTTGCGAATATCTTGGACCCACGCTCTGCACACATGACTGCCATCATTTCTTGTAATCGCTCATTGCAGCCGACACCACCCACTAATAATACCTTAAAAATTGTTTGTTTGTTTGTAACAGTTTATTGCACAATAAATACCTTTAAATTAACTAAATATACAACTATCTTAAAAAAAATATATAAGATGTATAATGGCGGACTAATCCCAAATGAGGGATTTCTTCCAATCAACCTTTGAATGACTGAAAGGAATTGTGGAGTGGTAGATATATATATATATATTTACATGACAATAACAACAAAGGAAAAAGAAGCAAACACATTATATAACTATAATATATAACAACTAGAATATTAAATAAATATTTAAGTATAATATATAAATACATATATATAAAATAACAATAATGAAATAAAAAATATATAAATAGTAACAGCAAAAATATATAAAAACAATACTACTATATAAAAAAATATGAAGAATACTAAAACAGCGCATCTGCAGTGTAACTTTTTTGAGGCGAGCCTTAAAATAGTAATTCATGATTCCGATTCGAATTGATAAAAACCAAAATTAAGACAAGGGCGTATTTTTTTATGGATAATTATGGAATGGTGCACCCGCCTGCGGTTTACGCTGACAAAGCACCAGTGGAGAACGATAAGATGAACATGGGGTCAAGTCATAAGAATTTATCAAGATGGTTTCCAGGGAGAACCTAATATGGTACATTGCTATCTATGGGGTTATTAGTCCATATCATTAATGGTATAATGACCTCATTGCTAACACCATACCATGTCAGGTCGACTTCTACCCCGTCTAACTGATCTGCTTTTATGCTCACAATGCTCACAATCACAATGCACAATAAGTCAACCAACTAGTGTATTAACCCATAAACAAACGTCTCCGTAAAAATATTGTCAAATAAATATATAATCCAATTAGTTTTAGTCGAAATTTATACAAACTGAACTACTACCATCTAAATATACCGTGGTAATGTTATCAAACAATTTAACCGTAAAATAAATATAAAATCAGTGAAATAAGTGACGGAAACAATATATGTACTCAAATGTAATGAAACCGTGAGTGACTTGTAAATAGTGACAATTGTGACAAATGAACAACGTATTTCATTAAAGTGTAAAACAGAATAAGAAATTATTTTTCTATCACCTAACATTATAAATCAGTGTTAAATATAAAAGTGCAAATTATAATTTCTAAAAGTGACGGTCATTACAATATACTGAACAATTTAAAACAACAATTTATAACGATCTTTTCTGTATGGCGATTACTATAATACGATTTTTTATTAAAATGTTTAAAGATCACAGTGGCTCAATGGTTACACGTATAGTTTTTTAAACTTCACCCACCCGAAAGTCCCAAGATCGAACCTCACTGAGAGGCATTATTTTTCATTTTAAAAGAATAACACATTGACTTCAAAGATATAATAATTAAAGAGAGCCACCTATAAATTATTGTAGAAAACATTAGATATCTATACTACTTATATGGATTTCAAAAATTGATTCTTTGAATAGTAGTTAATAGTACTTGCGCTTCCCAATAGAGGGCAGCATAAAATGTCAGCAACAAACAGATGTAAACAGTGTAACAGAATACTACGAAATCGAGAATATTTAAATTGCCAAAAATGTAAATACAAATATCACATTGAATGCATAAATGTTTCGCAAAAGCGTTATAATATAATAATGGATAAAGGGAAAAAAGATTCATGGTCTTGCAAATCCTGCATAAATTACAATGAAAAAATGCAATCTATATCGAGCAATATTACAAGTACGCCATTGTCTTCAAACAATCAAAATAAAAACAATTCGGACATACAACGTAGTGAAGATATATTGAACTCCAAATCGTTAAATAAAAAATTAAATATACTCGAGAAGACCTTAGATATTATAGCACCATTAAATACAGATGTGAAAAACCTTAATAAAACTCGTTCTCTTTCTTTAGAAAATATTGAAGTTGAAACGTCTACACTATCAGAATCAAATATTTCCCCTTATCATAGCCTTCCTGATATATCCATTAGAGTGAACAATTTAAAAATACAAGAATTAGAAACTGAGCTAACAGAAATAAAATTTAAACTAAAAACTGCAGATACAGAGATAGAAAACTTAGTACACGAAAACCATAAACTAAAGAAAGTAATAAGTGAGTTAGAAAACAAAAGCAAACAATATAAAATACTACTAACCGACCCTATAAGTTCCACAAAAAAGAAATATGATAACAAAATTAGAAAGACCCAAAATAAGAAATTTAGGAAAATAGAATTCTCCCCGGATAATCTCCAAACAAAACAAAGCAGTCTAGACAACACAATAAAGGACCAGAATGAAATAGTAAATCAGAATAGACCAGAAATCGTTTGTGAACAAAAAAATAATAATGATGATTCTAATAAAACAATAGATAAAAACATAGAAGATAAAACAACTGCTATAAACATATTAGACAACACCAATAAAAATGGAAAACTACACATACTAGGTACCCAACAAATTAAGGGATTATCTTCACAATTGATTCGCTCACGTTTAAATACGTGTTATGACACATATACCGTATCAGGACTAATAAAACCGTTTGCAACTTCCGATGAAATTGTCAAGGGATCAGACAACTTAGTGATGTATAAAAAAGATAAACTTATCTTATGTATTGGAGAAAATGACTCAAATCCAATAAAACTAATGACTAACTTATGTATAATTCTACAAAAATACAAAAATAATACTATCCTGATACTAAATATCACCAAAAACAACTACCTAAATGAAAAAAAACTGAATGAACAATTATATATTATTTCTCGCAACTTTAATAATTGTCATCTCATAACGAAAGAAACGACATCACTGACGGAATTGTGTATGCATTTAAACATTGTCATTGACACTATTGACTATAAAACAAAATTTTTGACATTTACTAAAAAAAGGACATTAAAAACTCCAATCATCGACAAATTACAAGAAGATACAAATTCAAAGGCTAAAAAAACTCTACTCGACTATTTTCCTATTATTAAAAGAAATCAATTAAACGTGCACTCTAAAATAAATATAGACACTGATACACGAACTAATGACTTTTTTCGTGAACAATAATAATATCCTAAATATACTACACCAAAATATAGCAGGCTTTCTAAGTAAAAGAGATATTCTACAGATAACACTCGAAGAACTGGCACAAAAGCGAAAAAAAGTAGATGTATTATGTTTGAGTGAAACTTTTATTAAATGCGGTACAGAAGCAAATATTCAACTTCATGGGTTTCAACTCGCCGATCACTATTCTAGACAAAAGAAACGTGGAGGTGTATGTATTTTATGTAGAAATAATATAGAATACAAACAAATCCTATTCTTAAAAGACATTACTAAAGAATTCATATTTGAATGTTGTGGAATAGAATTGATACAGTATAATATATTAATTTTTTGCATATACCGGATTCCGGATAATCAAATGTCAAATCCCTACGAATTTCTGACACAATTGGACATATTAATAAATGATATTATAAGTTGGCTGACAAACAATAATTTAAAAGTAAATGTAAATAAAACACATATGATACAATTTCATAATCAATATGCAAATAATACTCATGATCTCGTCATTACTCATAATGGTCAAATTATTAATGAAACAAAATCAATAACCTTCCTGGGAATTGTTTTAGACAAAAATTGTACGTGGAAAGAACATGTCGAAACAGTCTGTAATAAAATAAACAGATTCAGTTACGCTTTATGGCGGTTAACAAAGGTTGCTGGTAGCAAAACGGCTATACTTGCTTATCACGGCTATGTTGCATCCAGGCTAAGATATGGATTGATTTTGTGGGGTAACTCTGTAGAAATAAACAGAGCCTTTGTCTGTCAAAAAAAATGCCTACGAGCTATTTTTGACGTTTCGCCTAGAACAAGTTGTAAGCCATTGTTTCAAAGACTCAACATATTGACTTTGCCTTGTATGTATATCTATGAAATATGCCAATTTGTAAGACTGCATCCTGAACTGTTCAAACGGAGACAAGATATTCCTAGTAAATACACTACAAGACACTTAGACAAATTGATGTTACCATCTATAAAGACGTCATTATGCAGTTCAAACTGTCACGCCATGGCGATTAAAATATATAATAAATTGCCAAGTGAAATTGTAAATTTATGTCGAAATAAATTCAAGAAAGAACTACATAGATGGCTAATCAGCAAATCTTACTACAGTGTTCAGGAGTACTTACATAATTAAAAACATTGACATGTATAATTTATAAATATTTCATTAATACGAAGTTGACATACTCATATTATAAATAATGTACGTACTTAATATTGACTAACGAATAATAACCAAAATTGACATCTGTTTTGTCTGTTGCATGTCAGAAATGACAAAATGTGTGAAACTAGTTCTAAAGATCTTAAAAACCACACATGTACCACATTTTAAGCAATAAATATTCATTTCATTTCATTTCATTCATTCATTTCATTTCATTTCATTTCATTTCATTTCATTTCATTTCTCATCCTATAATCCTCTATTGATAGATTGTGAGCACGTGAATGCCACCTGATTCCATTAAAAGGAAAGCGGTAAATTATAGAAAAAATACGGTTTAGTACACTGATACTAAACGGCTAAACTACCGGGGCTGTCGAATATCTTCAACATCTAAGAATGATAGGAGGTGACTTTTTTGAGAGATAAAAAACTATAAGAGCAAATTCCTATAAAATTGCGTTTTTTTTCCTTTAGTCTCATGTGTTAAGGTAGTGCTTTTAAACAAGGCAAAATATGTGATTAGTTGCCTAATAAAAAAGGAAATTCTCACTCACTTCATCGGATCCACAATGAGCCATAGCCCTTTCTGTAATCTCCACTAACATAGCGAAAACTGTCTCTTGTAGTGAGTAGCATAAGTCGTCTGGTGTATACTCTTTTAAAAGCTCATCTATTTTGTCCTCCATGTAGGAAAGAATGCCTGAGAAGCTCACATCCATACCTGTAATAACAATTTTTAAAATAAACAGTCATAAAGTTCTGAGGAAATATTTTTTATGCTAATATTTTTTAGTGTATCTAAGAGTGCAATAAAGAATATTTGGCTGTTTCTACTCGGTAAAGCGGTGTTTAGGGCAGATGCGCACTATTCTGCCTCTCTTGCATTCTCATACTCATATGTTGTGTGCGATTGTAATGCAGGTCTTTGAGTATAGGTCGAAATCAATATCTAATATATACAATTCTCGAGTTGCAGTGTTTGCTCCAAAAAAGAGTTAAACAGCTTTAACAATTTTTATGAAATGTTATGTGCAATATTGGATAGGTCTGAGGCCAGCATCTATTTTTCATACTCCTCAATGGTAATGGTGACCCATAAATATACATATATGTATTTTTTTTTTATTTATCGGTACTAAAATACGTACAAACCTACATTTTCACCAATCTACCATAAACCCCTATTTTTTAGAACGATTTAAATTTATATGTCAACTAGTAAGTTCATATAAATTTAAGAAAATAATATTCACGATATATTGTCATAGTAGAAATTTGCTGCTTACCTTTGACACAGTATGGTAAATGCAAATATTTCTTCCCTTTTTTGGCGGCTTGTTCAATATTGTAGCCTGGACTGGGTGCATTTGATAATTTTAACACCCTGGCAAATCTGTTAAAAGGCATTTTTTTTATATTACTGGAATGGTAACTGGGGCAAATCTGATGATAAGTGGTAACGTCAACAAAATTTTATCTTTGAAAATTCTTGTTCTTTAAACTTTGAAAAAAGGCGAGGTAGCGTGTGTGCTGTGGGTACACACACAACTGGTGTAGGTCGCAGTGCTACAGGTCTAAAGTACCTGGCAATAGCTCAAACACGAAAAAAGTTGCAACCATACTCTATGATTCTAGTGTCAGATCTCATCTTTCAACCTAAACACATTTACAAAGTAAGCTTATGGCGCCTTGAATAAATGAAATAGAGAAAACCTGGATATTATATTTATATTAGCTTGTACTTTATACATATCCAGTCGATGAAATGACAATAAAATTACACAAACCTGTCGAGACAGTTACCAACAGCTATGTCAATAGTTTCCCCAAATATCCTATACTTTTGTCTGGAGTATGCTATAATTTGTGTATTTCCACCACTCACATATAATACTGTTGGGTTGTTTGCTTTAGTTATTAACCTACCCATTTCAATATCTGTGGATTTGTTGAGGATATTATAAGGTTGGCAAAAAATTTACTTCTAAACTATACACATATCTATATACATATCCAACTAAATTACATATTCCACTAAAAGGGCATGCTTAAATTGTTTAGTACAAAATAGAATTTGTATAAAACTATACAATAATTTTTCCATATCACATTTGCTATCAAATTGAAGTAAGTCTTTTACTATATAATATACATTATTTCTATTTTTCTCTCTCATTCTCATAAAGGCAGTTCCAACTATTATATGTTGTCTATTTATTCTGTAAATTGAAGATCAGAATCATGGAATATTCGAATGTCACTTTCAATAAAAACTGTTTTTTATGGAATTGGAATTGCAAGCATGCTGACAGCTCACATTACATTCTATATCTATATATACTTGAACAACAACACAGACAGCATGTTACATCTGTGACAACACTCATGGCTTGTCATTTCAGAGGACTATGATGTTATGCCTTACTGTAATTTAATGAATTTGGCCTAAAGCAACTTGGGAGTACACCAACCATAAAAGACTTTTGCAGTCTACCTTGGTTAGTTACATAAATAATTAAACAGTTATCAGTTCCTCAGACATAGAACTACACTATATTAGTTAGTTAGTTCATCTAGAAATTAATAAAAAAACATTTCAAGCATAATTTAGTTTGTACTTGCACTACAATGATTACTTGTGAAATTGCAATTATAGAAATGTGAAACTTAAGTTCCTCTGCAGCTAACTTTTTAGTCAAAGTCTACCTTAATGTAATATATTAACAATTATCATAAAGGATACGTCCAATACAATGATTTACTCCTAATAAAGGTTTGTTCCACAACTTGGATAAAGTTCTTGCAACGACAGCACCAACCATCAATGGGGCACCCATGCCCGGACCTTTAGTATAACAGACTACATCAATATCTTCAGGTTTCAAGCCAGACTCATCCATAGCCTCTTTTAGAACTTCATGTATATTTTGCCGATGGTGTTCTGCTGTTTCTCTTGGTAGGAATCCTGAAGTATATATATTTTAATTAAATAATTACTAAGCTCTGGTAAAATGTTGGAGGAGATCTTTGTCAACTACAGCTATATAGACAAGTTGTTGTTGCATGATAATATATAATTAACTGATAATGTGAAATATTGTTTGTTTAGACATATTAATATCTGGCATTATCACCTAACATTTGAAAACCCCTATATGAATTTAATGGCCCAATTCCTTAGGAAGGTTATAATATATTAAATACCAGGTTATGATAAAATTAACTTTTTTCTGTTTGCTCAGCTACTACTACCTTAGTAACTGAGTAAAAAGAAAAAAGTTAGAGTGAATGGTAGGAAAAGGAATTGCGCGGGCTGGTGATGTATAGAAGAAAAAATGCTTCTTGAATGAACTATTACAACTTTTAAATGGGCTATGAAATCACGAGGCACAGGTAGCTGTATTTCAATTCAGTCTTAGACTAAGAAAATCAAGTAAATAGATACATAACCTTCACCCGGTGGTGTGATGTATGTTCTCCGGCAGTTAGCTAGTACTTCACCATCTCTAATTATTCCGACACCAAGTTTATTGGCGCTCCCTTCAATTCCAAGTGCTACGACCATTGTTTTACTTCAGAAAATATATGGTTTATAGAATTAACATAACTTATACTTTTAAACACGTTCTTACTGTTTGTTTACTATATTTGACAGAACAGTATTCGTATTTGACGTTCCAGTTTTTTTCTTTTTCTTTACAGAATACTTTATGTGCAGAGAGAAAGTAAGAGCTAAGCTCTTTGAATTTTGTTTCTGACAAGAGTTAGTAATAAAGACATACTCACCAATGGCACCAAAGTCAACAAAAATAAGCAAAGTATAGCTATATTTTTATGAATGTGGTTCATAAACACATAAATGCAGTCTTGATATATTCATAGAATATCAAATAATATTTTTAATTTTATTGTTCTGTGGGTTCAAATAAAACACCATTATGTTTACAATTGCAATGCCTATTCAATGTATTATAACAAAAAATAAACACTTATGAATGTAGTCATTTGAAATCACAGACACATTATATATCATTTAAAAAATAAATTCCTTCTTATTACAACTTGGCACCAAAGTAAAAAAAGCCTGATATTAAACTGTCTATATAATTACTGCACTTTATGTTCATCATTAACTTCATCAACAAAATCTGCTAACATATCTTCAACGGACACAGATTCGTTGTTACCTGCAATTTTGTTAACAGCATGTTCTACATTAGTAGACTTTAAATCATCATTTAGTATTTTTTCTGGTGATTTAAAACCATTCATTTGAGGGGGTTCATCTACTTTTTCATCAGCTTCTTTAAATTTTTCTGTTTCTGTATCTTGAGAATTCTTCGCTATTTGTCCACAGGTTATTTGAATATCATCAGTATCATTAGTGCTTGGAAGATTTTCATCATCCATCTTTTCTAATACAGGAACTTCTTTGCAGGAATGTGGCAAATCGTAAGCTATTTCAATTGAAAGCGGCATGTCTTCCCTATCTGTAGTATCATTTGATATAATATCAAGGGGTAATTGCGTTTTGGCTTCAAAGATGTTTGTTGTATCTGCTTCATCCATTATACCATTTTCTTTAATAGTAATTTCGACATTAGCTGCAGTAGAGTCAGGTTCAAGTTCGTTATCTTGTTCAGCATTAACTGGTTCATTTATAATAGTACTGGGTTTAATTACTAATTGCTCAGTGACTATTATACGTGAGATTTCACCTTCAGATGTTTCGACCCGATTTTCTGGATTTTCATCAACCACACTTGATATCTCTGGTTCATTTTGCAATTCAATTTCCACTTCGTTACTTTCTCCATTTAATTTTTGATTAGTTGCCTCATTTATTTCTACATTTACTACTTCAATAACATTGTCATCATCTGATTCATCACTTATCTCAACTGAACTCACAGAATCACTGCTTAAAGTAGTAATATCTTCATCTAAACGTGGTTTCTTCATGGATGGTTCATCTTGTATGGTGATTACATTCCCCGAGTCTTCTGGTGGAAACCTGTAAATTAAGGCATTTTTCATTTAAACATCCAATGAGTTAATTTTATTTGTTCTCTTTTTATATATATTATTGTTATTATAATAATAGTATTTTTTTATATTTACTTTTACTATTTTAGATTTTTATAGCACCTTTTATTAGAAAATACTTACTTATCTGCGCCCAATAAAGCTTCCAGCGTGGCTCTATTCCTTTCCGACATCTTCTTTCTTTTATTGTCAGATTTCTTAAATTTATCGTCTGCGATCGCCACGACAAAACTTAACGAAGGTGGTGAACAGTGAAGATGTAATCGAATGTCCAAAAGTGCTTTTGAGCAAAAATTGGAAATCTGTTGAAAGAAAAAAGTATTTATCTAAAGTCCATAAAACCCTATATTAAAACCTCCTGGCTTCTTAAGTAAACAGTTTGTTATTGAAGGGATATTTTATGAATATTATATTATTATAACTATCTGTGCCCGCGGCTTCACTCGCGTGAAATTAATAGCCTATGTGTTATTCTGATGTATAAGCACTGTAAAGTTTCAACAAAATCCGTTCAGTAGTTTCTGCGTGAAAGAGTAACAAACATCCATCCATACTCACAAATTTACGCAATTAATTTTAATAAATATTAATAAGATAAGATGATGGAACAGAGATCCTGCATGTTACTGTTAGCGTACTACAGTGTATATGTACACTAATGAGACAACAATGGAAAATAGTACGACAATGAACTCTAGTTATTCCCATTGGGGAAATTTATCAGGAATAAACAATGATATATTCCAATCGGGAGGTTGTAGAGATCAAATCGACAGGCTAGCAATAGTATACACGTACAATGTTAATTACCTCTGGTTGCTGTGAGTTGATCATATTGCTATAAAGGTGTAGACAGTACTGTGTCGGCGGAGGCACTGTCGGACCAGTGGACTTGCGAGCTGCTTCCAGTGCGCGCAGAAGTGCTATAGCGCGCTCGCTCGAGTAACTGTCGATGTTGTAGCATTCGCGAACTAACCGCTCTTGGAATAGCTGCAGACATAAGATAAGAAATTTGTATAGAATAAATAATATTGATCAATTACAACGCTATCTATGCTGAGATTTTAATATAGTTATTAGACGGGGAAACCAATGTAGCTTAGGAACTGTTTTATATTTCTAATAGGAATATTGTATTTGTAAAAATACTAGTCATCTATACAATACAAATATACAATACAAAATACAAATAAAATTGGAGTGTCTGTTTGTAATATTGAAATAACCGTTTTTTACTACATGCATATGAATATAAATACAGTACATACACCAAAATAACATTTTTTACAATTGTTGTCTGTCTGTCTGTTTGTTTGTTCCGGCTAATCTCTGAAATGGCTGGACCAATTTATTGGCAGGGAGCTGATGTAATAAGGAGTAACTTAGGCTACTTTTATTTCAGAAAAATTCTCAACATAACTTTTTTGTTAAATTCCACGCAGACGAAGTTGCGGGTAGTAGCTAGTTAACTATAAGAGTAAAGCAATTGTTACAAGCAGCATCTATTGACAAGTATGTTACTATTATTTTGCTTACCTTATGAATGGAATGCTTCAAAAATATACCACAAACAGTGAGGAACGATTCGGCGCATTCTAAAGCTGCAATAGCGACTTCATCATTGGTTTGTTCAGATCTAAAACAATATTTAAAGATGGTAGACTTAACGAATGCAATGACGATGTGACTGTTTCAGTAATTTGTACTAATATTATAAAGAGGTAAAATTTGGACTTTGGATGTCATACGAACTACTACTGAAACTTAAAAAAATATTTTAGCTTTGGATAGCCCATTTATCGAGGAATGGTATGGGCTATATAACATTAAGCTACGACCAAAAGGAGCAGAACTGCAATGACAAATATTGCAGAAATCTGACGCAGGTGAAGATGCGAGGGTCAGATCAACAGGTATAACTGTTATGGTTGCTAGCTAATATATATATTTTAGTGACATTTTAACAATCATGCACACTGTTGTATGTAAACATCTATGCCAAGTTCCTTGTCGGTTCTTCTTTGATCAAACTTCATTCCGAGCTGATCATAGATTTGACATATCAAAATGACTGTAATATATAGTAATAAAGGAATTTTTCTAATGCTGTAAATATAAAATTATATATTTTTTATTACAATTAAATACATTTTTAGGTATATTAAATAGAAATAATGTTAAAAAAGGAGGACTTTTTAGCATATTTATTCTAGAGAATATTCAGGCAGGTAGGCAACCATGGTTATAAGGTTAAAGTATGATATTTTATGTACACTTACACAGATATTTTGTTTTTCTCTCCAGGCGCGTGTGATGCTATTGTACTTTTATCCAGCATGGAATTTGCTAATTTTCTTTTTGCTTTCTTGCTCAAATGTTTGGTTGGTTGTGAAGACATCTATGAATAGAAGTTTTAAAATAATATTTTTAATCCTATAGTATATAATAACATTGAGTAACATCAACTATTTGATTCATTGAGCTAAATCAGTATTATCAGCATACAATTCACACATTTTAATTTAATAATGTAAGATTACAACATTCGACTAAAAGAACAACATGCAAGTTTCTTTTCGAATGATGATGTGTTTGCGTGTTGTGACGTCACTCTAATACGACAGTACTCACCGTCAGCTGTACGAGCCGCCTCTGTGGCGTGATATCTGCGAGAACGTGTGTAACGAGTTCTTCACCCCAGCTCCTGCCACCACGTCTCCCACTGTCTACACGTTCAGTGTGTAACACCGTCAACCATTTACAAAATGTGCTATAGGCCACGCAGCGGACTTTACTATGTAAAAGAAAAAGATACTATATCAGAAGAGAAACAGGTTAAGTCTGACACTCAATTGTTTCCTTTTTATTTTATAAAAAGGAGAGGAATTGAGTGTTGAGGCTGTAGAGCATAAAATTTTAAAAAGATTGTTTCATGTATCTATATTGTTAGCAATTTACAAAATTGTAATCTTCTATCTATTTTCAGAGCTAGTTACAAGTCTTTATAACACAAAAATGGGAGGATCAAGTCATCATAGTGTCTTAGGTTCATTGGATTTGTTAATAATACTAATAGCAGAATAAATATTAAAACAACGGAAATTAATGAGAAAAAATATTAACAAATTAATTTTTCTTATCAATTTTCATTATACTTTTTATTAAAAAAAAAAAAGTCTTAAAATAATTCGACTACTAAGATGCCCGAGCGGATTGCTAGTACTTCATATAGAAAATTGTATTCCTAATAATAATTACCTGGATTCCTCATTAGGATTATCTGTGGTCCATTTCAGTGTTTGCATAATAGCTCTAATGACTAGTGCTGAAAATGGTATTAGGTTTGAACCTAAGCTGAAAAAGAAATGGTTTACTTTTAATGTCACTGTCAGATTATCACTGCATCTACAATAATATACCGTTCTCCTTCTCTTCAAATTAAATTATAATATTCATGTAGGTCTATTACAGACTGTTATGATATGTAAAATCTACCGTCAGTTTCGGAGTTTCGCTTTCGAACTAAGAAACCTGACAAGAAACTCAGCTCTTATTCTTTTTAAAATATGCTTTATGACTTTTACCTAACAACAACGTCTAATGACAGGGGTTGAAGAGAATCCGTGAAGTATAATGTATAATCTCAGTACAATTCACTCAGTGCCATCTTATCCCAAGCTAAGCAGAGCTAAACCACTGAGGCTGTCAGATGTCGTTAGAGTTGATGATGGCAAACATACCATGCAATGAGAGCGTCCAAAGTTCTAAGAGCGTATGTTTTCATTGTGGCTCTGTGAGGTGCATCAAGATCAGAGTGTTGTTTGGAACTAGTCACACTTAGCACACGCACTATGACTTCTAGCAACAACTGTGGCTGAATAGGTTTCGCCACTGGATAAATTTCTCTGTAACATAAAATTAATAAAAATAAAATCTCAAAAAAAATAAGTAGTTCTGTAACAAAGGTTCAAATTTAATTACAATATACCAATTCAAAATGATAATAATTTCTTTAACAAATATAAAAATAAATGTACAGTTTTTTTATTTTTTTATTCTTCCACACTGAAATGAAATGCATTCTGATTGATGATTTGATGATTATTATTATTGCATTAAGACTGTAATCTTATATATTTAATAGGCAAAGTAATGTTCTTAATTTAAGTCCACCTAAATAAATTTTTATTAATTTATTTAGGTGGACTTGAATGTCGTACCAATGGTGCAGTACTTTGATATAGTTTTTAATGCCCTGACAATAATCTACAGAATTCCAGAAAATATAATATGCAGTTTGTTTAAACAAGTATAGTTATATAATTTCAATATATCATGTAAATATTACAGTAAATATACATTTTTATCATTATTTAATTTTTTTACATATTTACTGAAATATCTAAAAAATAATTTGGCTAAATGAAGCATACACATTATAGAATAAAAAGAACATTATTACACTTCACATTATAAGTAAGTAATCTTATAATGTGAAGTGTAATCATTGTACAAAAACCTAAGAACAGACTATAACAAACATACTAACACAAGCATTGCCTGGATATAGATTAATATATTCTGGAGTCTTGTGCAAAGTACCGTTTTCTTTGTGACATTTTTATCATGGTCTTTTACTTGATTAATACTTTGTAGCGCCAAGTGCAGTGGAGAGTTACTGGATGACTTTTGGTTCTGTAAAACGAGTAAAGAGGTACAAATTTACCAATATATTATTCTTGTCACCATAAATATTACATTTTAAGTTTTTATTTGTCAGAATATGCATAACTTATTATTTTTTTCATTTTTAGTATGGGTCAATACACATAAGTGAAGAAATATTTTTTTATATTAGTTATAGATTAGTTTAAAACTTGAGTTTTACAACTCATTTTCTATTTTCGCGACAGTATCTGGTGTATTATTTAACCCTAATTGCATATAGGAATGGAATGGTTCCAGCAGTTTACATTCTTACCAAACATATTAGTTTTTGCACCAGTTAAACTGAATAAATGTATTTCTTTTCGACTGATAGAATTCAATTTAACATTCCAATAAATTATATTATGTACTAGATCAGAGTCCACTTACATCATTATAGTCTTGATTATTTCTATACATGTCTACAACATTAGGGTATATTACATCAATAAGTTTATGGACAGCACTACTTAATGCTTTCATTTGATCTCGCCAGGAACTTTTTGGGTTTGCACCTTTTTCTTGTGTGGGCCGTACCTGAAAGTATTAAAAAAAATTACTTGTTTTACTATCTGCATACCTGGATTCACTCCTCACAGTATGGTATTCAGAATAACAATAATTCATAACTTTTAGTTGTTATCAATTAAGAGTAAAATAAACAATAAATGTTACTAATAACCTGCTGCAATACACCATTGAAATTCACATATAAGTTGACTAAGTCACCTCTGAGATTACTGCATACGAAAACTTAAACCTACAATGAGAATCACTGGTAGTTTTATAAATTCTTTTATCCATATTTAAAATATGTTGTTCTTTCTTAATGTACCTTGCTAGTGGACCTAACATTTCACACTCAGTCTCGTACCTATCTAGATTCAATGCTCATTACAGGGGAGACAATGGAAAGCAGCTAAATGTGTTCTTAGGTATCTTAAAGGCAGAAAAACCTAAAGCTTCAGTATAAACATAACAGCCAAACATTTACATTACAATATATGAAGTGTACTACAAATAGATGAATTTGTATTATGTAGGTACTTATGCACTTTTAATATAACAATAATAATCCTATACAATTGAGATAGTGCTAACTAGTGCCAGACTGAACCGAGATTGTGTTAAGGGTACTAGACAACTGATAGAATTACATAAATAATAGTTTTCTTTTTTGGAAGTTGGTATCTGCAATCAGTATGGGTACTATAAGCAGGTGAGTTGTTGGTAGTTGGTGTGGGAGAAAACCTTTGACAAAGTATCAATTTTTCTGTTAGCTAGAAATCTTTCATCCAGCACCAGGATATTTTGATAAATTGATAGACTTCAATAATAAAAGTAATATTTCAATAATGTAAGTAGGAAACCAAATAATATTTAATATTGACAACTGTTGTCTGTTCTGTATCTATATGACCAAATGTGTGAATCCAATAATATTTTAAAAACAAGAAATATTTTAACAACATTTTTTAGGCTATTAAATTTTATTAATTTCATATACAAATTGCACTACAGACTAGAAGGCAATGTCACATTGCCTCTGACCCAAATCACTCCTGTAGACTTATTATAAGGATTATCTTACATCATTAAAATTATATATAATTATATATTATCAGCAGTGTTGCTTTGATTTCTAGCTCCGAACTTTCCATTAATAATAAACTATTATAATTTATTGTACTTACTTGTTGCAGTACATGTGCACATTTAGCAGCTTGAATTACATTGTAATAATTGTTAGAGTCCAAATTGTGTGTCAAGACATTCTCAATTGTTTGTCTATGAGGCATACAGTATTTAGGAAATCTGAAATAATTTTGGTGTTATTAAATACTGAAACTATTACTCACTGCCATTACAAAGCATTTTAAAGATCCTATATCTATAAAAATACAAAAGTAAAGGATTATTAATAATTTGGGATTCTATTAAACCATTCTTAAATGGAAAACAATTTCACATTCAGGTGGATTTCAATGAAAATGTTAAGGTTATTGTATTAAAAAAATTAATATAATCATTACTCACTGCTGTTACATAGTATACTTTAAAGCTTAGGAATCCATAAAAATACAAAACTAAAGGATTATTAGAATTTTAGAATTCTATTAAACCTTTCTTAGATGGAAAACAGTTACACAGCTGGATTTCAATGAAATTTGATGTTAAGATTACTGTATTATGAGAATGGACACAGCTTATTTTAAATTAAAAAAAATATCTATATAATTAAATAGACATGAAATCCTCAACTAATCAGACCTTTACTGGTATTCTGAGTGTTTTATCAATTCAATTCACTTATTGCTTCACTCAAGGCACTTGTCATATATAAATTTCCTACTGAGCTATCTAGTTGCTATTAGTTACTGCAGTTGCTATCGAGTTTTACAGAAAACAAATGTACAATCTCACAGCAGATTCCATTTTCAAATTTGTAAGTGATGTTTACAGAATAGCTCTACTTATATCGTGGGTACTAAACAACTGACAGAAATTTTTAATATTTTGCAACTACAGACAAAATATAGCTATGTAGATATCACTCATGAATATTTGTATCAAGAGAGAATCAAAATGTGATAATCGAAAGTAAGGTGATCTACTAAACCTCTAGATCACTAAAGTCTTCTCCGCTATACTAATTAACCTCTAAATGACAGAGCTGATACTAGAGAGGTTACAATACCGGTTAATTATATTTTCTAATGCACGAAGCCATCTACTGGAATTCCCTTCAGCATAGTTATCGACCTTCTGAAAAAAGCTAGACAGGGTTTCTTTCACTGCCTCACTATTATTAGGGTCAACATCACGAACTTTGTTCAATATTATATCTGTAATTTATTAAAATTGAAGCTCTTAAGACTTATTATAGTTATTCATGTTACAAGATAAAAATGAATTATGTTGTTGGTACACAACACTTACTCATTTTAACTGCTTATATATATATATAGTTAAATAATTTAATAAATGTTTCAAAAATGTAAACACGAAAAAGTACAATGTGATTCCATGTGTCAAAATAAATATCATAGTATAATGTCAATTTTTAAATGTTTTATTCATTACCTTGTATATTGGATACTTGTCTTTTAGCCTTAATTTTTTTTTCTATTGATCCTTGAAGAGGATAGCCTCTTGAATGAAATTGTATATTGTATTTTTTAAAATCATATTTGTAATATATAGTATAGCTAGGTGATAGTATAATAATATAATGAGATTTTTAAAAATAGCAGCACATTTTAGTTGACGGTTTGGCACATATCAGAACTAAAATATGGCACTTTTTTAAAATACAGTTCATTATCAATTCTGTTTAGTTTATGGCTCTTTAGAGTATTATGTTCCTTGGTTTATGGTCAATTGTATATTTACACAATTGTACACATAATTTAATTACAACTGGCTTTTTATTGTTTACAACCATAAGTTAATAAATTTAATCGCTTTGTCAGTTTAAACTGTCGCTGTTACTTTTATATATAAGGGAAATTTTATAAACAAATAATCATGGCTACATTGGAGGATAAGATTTTGGGCGAGAAATTACACAATTATTGCAGCAGTAGCGAAGATGAAGGCGATTCTGATTATGAGGATAGCAGAAGCGGCGAGGAACCAAGCAATCCTCCCAAATCTGCAGGATGCGCTGAACCTCCATCTATTAACAAGTGGACGGGTTCCGCCAGCAATACTGGCCCCAAAGGCGTTTTAGAAGATTGGAGAAGATTCAAACAGTTAGAGGCTGAAAATCGGGTAGAACTGGAAAAAGAACGAATAGCTTTGGCAAAAAAACTTACCATGCCTGTTAGAACTGATAAAGAAGATGAAAAGGCAAAAGAAATAGATGAATTAGAAGATGAATTGAGTGAGCTGATTGATGAAGGATTTCTAATGAAATACCAGCAGCAGAGAATGCAGGAATTGATGTCACAGTTGCAGAAAGCTCCTAAATTTGGTAAGGTTATTACATTACGAAGCCAAGAAGAGTTTTTGAATGCTATTGATAAGGAGGATCACAAAGTGACTATTGTCATTCATATATATAGTAATAATATTGCATGTGAGACAATGGTTGGCTGTTTAAATGTTCTGGCAGCAGACTACCCAATGATAAAGTTCTGCCAGATTTCAGTAGACATAACAGGCCTCAGTAGACATTTTCGTGTAGAAGGGACACCTGCATTGTTAGTGTATAAAGCTGGTCAAGTTATTGGTAACTTTGTTCAGCTTGCTACTGAACTTGGCAATGATTTCTTTGCAACCGATATTGAGCGCTATCTTATAGAATTTGGGATGTTGCCTGAAAAATAGTTCAGATAATTTTTAAGGTTAGTTGTATTTTTTATACTGTTTACTTAATTAATTAAGCTTTAGCTTATTAATTACTAAGAGATGTAATTAGATAATGCAAAATATTCTTGAAAAGTTCATGATAATGTGATGTGAAAATAATACTGTACTGCCATATTTTGCTTATTTATATATTGTGTGTTGTTTGTGCAGTTGGATGAAGATATTAAAAAATGAAATAAATAATTATATAAGACTTCTTATATTGTACATTGTTTCTCAACATTTTTAGTCTAGTATTTAAATACCATATCATGCTGTGTGAACTTGAATGAGAGAAACTGCTGTATTATTAGTTATGTACCTACTTAAATAGTATTTTTAAGGATTTAATAAATATTAAAGTTCTTTCATTTTTCTTCAATATTTTCATTGATATCATACCTATCTGCCTCTGCAATGCACGGGACTATTTACAAGAGCATTATGCTAACAATGTGCAATGTTGGAGTATCCTAGATGCGGTTCCCCTTGAAAACCATCATAACAAATTACTGGTGAATTTAACAGGATGGGTTAACGGACCTGACTCATGATGCTCAACTTAACATTCTCAATGGATGCAGGCGAGTGCAAAATTTGATTACCACTTATTAGGAATATACAAATATATATGTATACTAATGATAATATACTGTATATAGAGTATGTACATTATACATTATTCACAATATATATTGTACTTTTATCCTCAACATATCTTGGTGATTAATATAAAAACACATTGATTCACTGTTTTTAAATTTTAAACTTAATTATTCATTATAAATTAATTGACGGGTAAATTAAAAACTCCAATAAATTATATTAATTCAGATTTACATTGAGCCAATTACAAATGCCAGTGATACAATGACTTCACAATATTATATTACATATAGCAATGTCAATATTGACTTGTCTCGAGATTGAAACCAGTAATTGTCCTAATGTAAACCTGCTTTAATTTATTTATTTACTAAACAAGTATTTGCAAAATCTGATACTCAGTTCTTAAAACTTAGAATGTATAATAATCTTGTTCTTATAATTATTACTCATCCACACTAATGAAGAATACTACAAAATATACTTGGGTGTCACTTAATTAATTTACTTTGCAGATATTCTACATTATCAATAATATTGATATTGTTAAACTGACATTGCAGTTGAAGTCACTGATAAATACAATCAGTGTTAGGACTAAGTTTGAGAAATATTTAAAAAAAGGTTATATTTTTCAAAATTAGAATGTTATAACTTTTTATAGTGATGTCCATTGATAAGTTATTGGCTACAGATTATCTAACATTATACAATGGAACTATTGATAGCATACCAACTTAAAAATACAATATAATTAGTAATTTAGGGCTGCCATGTACTAAGTATGAACAGTATCCCAATTAAAGTTTCTAGGTAGAGTAAAGTCTTCTAAAATGTTATTATTCATAAGATGTCTAAAAATATGAGTAAATTTCATCCATAAAAAAAAAATGCGACGTAGCTGGCGACTGACATCATATACAAAAAATTAATACCAGCAAATACAGTTGAAAATTTTTAGTACCAAATAACATGTACAGAAGACACTTTTATATGTAAAATTGATTCTATGCAGGTCAGAATATATCAGATAAGTCTCCAAGCCCTATTACAGTATAATTTCCTTCATTACTTATCTCATGCAAGAGCATCCAAGAATTTTTGTATATATATATGTGCCAGATTACATCACGTAAATTCTTTCACATTATACTCTATCAATATTTCAACATCACTACTATATAGCCTGCAATGTAAAAGTAAAGACAAGGCACAGAATATTAATTTTAGCAAAGTTCCACAACCTCGTCGCTGATTTCCGTGCGCCTACGCTTGGGTGGCTTTATAGTGGCTTCATCTTCATCCTCTTCAATGATTTCCATATCACTGTCACTGTCTTGCCTAGATCGTGAAGGGCCTGGTTTAGGTTCGTTAGATCCATTCGAACCATTGGTGGGTTTCTCGTCTTCCTTGGGTGCTAGTTTCGGTGCATCCGCATCGGTGACTAAGCGCCACGATTTTTCATCATCTTCCTGTTGTAATCTGACTCTCACTTCGTAATTTTGCAAGAAATCATCAACAAGTAATGCACACCCATCATTAAGTCCTATTTCCTCCAATGTTTTGTCATTGTTATGGTCAGTTTCACCAGGTTCTGATGATAGGACTACAAGACCTTTACCTTCAACTGTAGCATCAGGAGCCTGCATGTTGAGTCCTTCTTTAAATGCTGCCGTCAGATCTTTGAGGGTGAGTTGTTTTATGTTACACGCGAGTCCAACTTCTGGTTTTGGAGCACAGACATAGCATTTTGGATTTGGTGGAGTAAGCGCTGAAAGAAAATAAACAAAGCATAGGTTAATTTTTATTTTAAATTCTGTAACAATATACAGTATTTGAAGTGTTTCATTTTTTGACGTACTCTGGACTGTATATCAGAAAAGCCTATACATAGAAATCGGAGTTAATTTTAAGGTCTATTACATGAATTTTATTTTATTAAGGTCAATTGAAATTACAATTTGTAATTGAAATATGTTCTTGAAGAAGGTTTCATAATCTACTTGTTTTGAATTGAATTACAGAAAAGAACATATTACATACTATAACTTAAATTATCATATGGAACAATTTTACGTTAGTTAAGTTACCAGAGGTTTTAAATTTGAACTCACTTTTCTCGGGAACAAACAACTGCCCGCGATGGTTGACTTTGGGCCTCAAATAGACGCTAGAGCATGATTCAATTTCTTCTTTGAGGATCGACTGCGCGCGCAGCACGGCCAGGCCAGCTACGATAGCGTTTGCAGTTGCTATTGCTGGAATTATGTTCCCGGCCATTGCTGTAATGAAATATTAGTAATGTTAGCAAACAGTCCTTAACAAAATCTCTAATTTGATTTATATTGACATAGACTATATCTCAAAAAAGCGGACAAATTCGCGGATTACCCCCTTTTTAATAATGACACATATATTGTAATAAATAATTTATTACAGTATATGTGTCATTATTAAAAAGGTCATGTATCATCATTATTTCCTTATTTCCATACTAAATATAATATATATTATATATATAATATACTAGTAAACAGGCTTCGAGTATCCTTGCACTAAGCATTAAAAAAAAAGTGTAAATTAATAAATATTTCTTACATTTTATTTCAAACCGCGACTTTAACGGTATATTGAATATATGCGCGCGTATATTAGCGCATGCTGTCACGAAATCCATTGCACTCTTCTCATCCTTGTCCCATACAAGGTGATCACCTTCAGGGCGGCCCTTCAAATCTGCTTTTAGTGCGTCACAGCTTGCTGCGAATACCTGTGTTTATTTTCACAATGTTATTATTATATTTCAAAGCTATTGTATGTAAGTATATATAAAGGAGAATGATAATAAGAGTACAAGTTCAGGTCACATGGTTTCCAGGGGAACCCTGTGGTCAGCCTGACATGGTACATGGCTATTAAGCAATAAATCCACATTACTAACAATGCCATTTCACTCAAGCTATTATAACATAATGGAAGTGGTTAGACATTATAAAGAGGTATGTCTATCATATCTTAGTACTCTGGAATGACAACGCATGAGCTGGAAGCACATGATAATGTGTTGCCAGTAGACCTCTGTATATCAAACATCTTTTTATAATAAGTTTAATAATTATAAAATCTTTAGAACAAAATATCTAAGATTTTAGAGTGTTAATATATTACGGAAACAATCTCCTTACATGTTAAATATACCCATTATTAAAACATATATGTAAACACTTTTTTTCTCATTTTCAAGCTGTTTATTAGCAATCTGTTTATTTTTAAAACAATAACTATTTTTTTATTAAATGGTTGTATCCCTTTCAGGTGTATATATGTATATAATACTTTAAAAAATTATATTGCAAGAAATAAATGTTTACCTGTGCACATTCATGGATAGACCATACACGTTGATCTGGTAATCCAGAATGCTGCATAGGAGCATCGTCTTTCCCTGGCAATACATTCCAATTCAAAGGTGTAGGTGGTCTTCGTTTCTTCCACAGATTCTCCATAGAGAGCAAATAATGGATATCATCACCAAACAGCTTGCTGAACAGTTTTTCTGGATTGTAATTTGTTTCTGCAGCCCAGGATCTAGTGCTTTTTCTTTCCACGTTGCCTGCAGTATTACTTTCTGAAGATAATGCTGATGTACCAGCTTCGCCAGCGGCTTCAGGGTCAGCTGTGTCAGGGCTGACATCCTGATCAGGGTCCTCTTCACCAAACAATTGGTTGAAGAGGTGTTTAGCCCACACTATACAGTGAATCGGCTCTGATGGAGTGTTGCGAATGGTGCATCCAGGGAATGTCTTTTGTGGGGCTTTAGGTTGGCATTCATAGCATTGGGTGAGACCTTTCTTGATAAGCTCCACCTTGAATATAAAAGTAATACATTTATTATACTATTGGAATGTCATTGAAGATGTCTATTCACTATAGTGTTTTGTCATCTCAGAGAATAAATTTACATTGTAAAAGTAAATTTTGAAAGCTGTTGTGGTATACAATAGGTAGGTACCTACAATACTAATTTGTTAAATGTTCAGTTTTAAAATTTTCTATAAATTAATACACTTATAAAGTGTAATATATAAAATTTTGCACTAAGTATTAATTTTTGATAGTAATATAACACTATTTAAGAATCACAATTTAATTTTGTATTAGAGACAAAAAACTATAGTCTGTTTTTTACATAATTCCTACAAAATACTGTCTTATACTACAACTTAATTAATAATTTAATGAAACAGTAAAATACATTCTATGTAATAGACATGTTATTGAGATTTTAATGCAATAAAAAGAAACAAAGTAGTTAGGAGTCAAAATAAGTTATTCATATTCTTATATAAATAACTTATATATAAAATATCCACATAACTTATGAACTATTTCTTTGAATATAAATATTTCCATCAATATCCCTATCATAGAGTTTAGCTAGCTATTTTATAATAGTATTGGTCTATTTAAATTATATTTTTGTCTTTTTTTAATATTTTCAAATCACTCCAGAAAAGTATCTCATAGCTCTCTATCTCAAAACTCATTTACTTCTTTTCTTGACAAAAATATTTTTAGTTGACGTTACCTGACCAGCATATCCAGCAGTGCCTGTTTCAATTAAGGGCACATTGGCAGCCAGACACATTCTATTAACATGATTTCTTGCTACACGGTTGTCCAGAGCATTCATGACAATATTGAATTGCTTGAAGTAGCTCACACCATATTCATTACTGTAAAAAAAGGGCAAAAAGAGAATTATGTATTCAAATTCAAATTCAACAATCATTTATTCATGTAGGGCATTTTAGCCACTTATGAACGTCAAGTTTTTACATTAGAATTTTTTTCCCTACCATCCAGTTCGGTATATAGATCCAATTGAGAAGAACTGGCAAGAAACTCAATTGAATTACTTTTTTTTTAAATCCAGTTTATTTACAATGCATAGGTATTTATATAGGTGTCTATGTCTAACATTAAATGAAAATCCCGAACATGAAAATCCATATAAATGTTAACAACTTTAATACTAGACTTGGATAGTCAGTGATTAGTCAACTGCAGGCATGGTGCAAGTAACAATAAAAAGAAAAACATTGTATATGCAAACTCTGGAGTCAAGTAATACTTAAGTATATCAAAATGCTTATTCTAATTAGTGCAATAATTATAATAGCTTTAGAAATGCAATATATACTACAGAATTTAGTCTTAATATACTACAAAAACAACCCTATTATATGTTAAATATAACCATTGGAATGCTAATATGTACATACAATTACTGTTTTTTCTTTTCTATTATTAGTAATATGTTTACTTTTAATCAATAGTCCAATCTGATGTCTTATTATAATATTAATCATTCCAGTAATACATAAATATCTTCTACAGATAAATTCTGTTAGATGATATATCAGTTACTTAGAATATTTAGCCAGTAATATATAACACAAGCACTGCTTAGCTTGGGACTAGACAGCGCTGTGTGAATTGTCCTAAGTTATAGAAAAAACATGATGTATCTGTGAAAGTTAAGTCAGGACATGTTTTATCATGATTTATAAAGACAGCAGAAACAGCTAATAACTATAAAATAGCATTTGAAATTACAAACCTGATAACACTGTCATGATGGGCAATAATATTGACATTAGGGTTGAAGCTCAGAGCAGAGTCCTTTGCCACCTGGGCCTTAGATTTGCCGACATGCTCTTTGTGGAATAAAAATTGACGATTTAAGTTACTAACATCTATGGTATCGAGATCAATCTGTAAAAAAATTATTACATTTATTTAGTATATGGATTTTATAGCTAAATTATTTAATTTTGTATAAATTTATTCATTTTATTTTATTAAATAACAACAAACATCAAGTTGGTAATGAACACTCCAACCCATATTCTCCAGTTACATGATAATTTTGACTAATAGTACCTAGTAATTTACTATTTGTAGCAATATGATTGCCGGGAGAATTAATATCAGAGGTACCAATGTCGGAAATATGCATTTGTACACGGTAGCATTAAGTCGACGACATGGTACGTAGCGACGACGTCATATCGAGTCATGGAAATTCGACATTTCACAAATCCAGTTTTGGGTAACCTCTTATAATATATAACATATAAGTACAGTGTAATAATAAATAAAAATAATACATACTATTTCGATTTGTGGAAAGCCGGTAAGTACGAGATTTTTAAGAATTTCACAACCTATACCGCCGGCGCCTACAACCAATATTTTAGAATTAGCGATGGCCTCCGTCAATTTCTCATCAAAAACACCAGCCACTCTCGCAACCATTTTATTTAAATTAAACTTTATTGATTAATATCTGAATATGGAGATTGGAGATTTCTTTTGAATTGCAATTCACACAAAATACGAAAAAGAGGAATCATGAGTAGAGCAAGTGTCAAAATTGGCGTCAGGCGCAGTGTTACCAACTACTATTTTACTTTTCGGCCAGAAATAATAATTTTTCCAGATTTAGATTATTTTCCGCAAAAGTGTAAAAAAAAAGTGTTACGTATACGAGTAACGTTACAAAAAATATATAGGTGTCATTTACACAATTTTTAGTAAGTAACCAATACAGCAATTTTATTATTCAGTTATCATATTTTCATAAGAATAGATTCAGAATAGTTTTTCCCAACCTTTTCAGTGCCATGCTCCACCCTAGACTGTCTATTTATGTCAGACCATTTTAATATTCAATGCAGAGATGGATCCTATCTGCGACAATCTGAAGGTAAGACAAATGTGGAAAAAATAGGCATTTGATCACTTCTTCATTTCTAACAACCACATAAAGATTTTTATATTCACAAATTTATACCTGTACTGTTGTTAGATGATAAATATAAAAGCCCCGAAATGTCTTATAGCGATTACTTGTAGCGTTTTGGTTGTAATTTATTGGACCGTCAGTAGACCTTCCACGTAATGATGCTGTCATTAACTTGGAAATTAAAGGTTACGCTGAAGGGAATTAAATTAAAACATCAACATGATTGTGCACCATTTCGTTTAACTTTGTAATGGTTTGACGCTCAATTTTGAATTATACAGCGCCGTATCCAATATCTTTATTTGTAGTAAGTAGGTAAGAAAATACTACCTATTGTATTTTCAATTATTATTGAAAATATTATTTAATTCACTTGAAATTAACGATGATTATTTGGGGTGAACTGCTTGTAGTTCGATCTGACACTACTTGATAATAATAATTAAAATGTGTTTTATCAATGATTTTTATAGCCGTATAGGTATGTGGTATGTGTAGTATGAATGTGGATGGTTATAAGGGTAGAGGAAGGCCGAAAAAAAGATGGATGGACTGTGTGAAAGATGATATGGTAAGGAAGGAAGTAAATAACGCGATGACTGCGAACAGGGATAAAATAGAAGCGAAAAACATATTACGCCGACCCCAAATAAATGGGATAAGGAAGAAGCAGATGATGATGATGATGATGATGACAAGTATGTAGTATAAGTACCATTTAATTTCAGACTATTTGGTAGTGTAATTTAATACCTACATATCCTTTACTTTTCAAATAATTTCTTTATAACTAGTTTTATGCTGTTACCGCAGTGATACGGTATTATGGCTTTGGACTCATCAAGATTGTTATTTTGACCTAATCGACGGCTCGTGTATTTACATTAGACTCTAATCCAAAACAACATACCAACTGTAAATTGAAGTAATTGTATGAACATTTACTCACGATACGATTTCGTACTCAATCGATCAAAACTCGTCAGATCGTAATACATTAGCAGGGGGAGGAGGTACATGAACAGTAATAGGAGGTACATGAACTTCATAAAAAAAATGTATTACTATGTAAAATACATTGTGTATTTTACGTAGTCGCAGCCGCCATGATAACTATATCATATAATAAAAATCTGAATTGAACTGTTACGTTCAGGGGTACGTGTACGACGTATTCACATCTATTATATTACTACTCATTCTCATCGATTATACTTGTAATCTGTGTTTAGGTTATAGGGTACGATTAGGCAATAAATGAAATGGAAGCTAGAATGGTAACGCATGAGTGGTATCGACTCTCATGTGGTAAGGGCTTACCATTAGCTGAATAAACAGCTTGCCATTGCAGTTACATAAAGACTGAGTTAATATCAACTCGATCCGACTCAAATCGCGTCGTCCGTAGGTTGTTTAATTCACGATCGCGTGGGATACCTACTATTATCCGGGTCAGTCATTTAGCAAACTGAGGGCTGTTTATATTGGCGTAGATTTCCGGCTAGCAATGCAATTGGAATTGCGGTGCTGAGCAGTTAAATTGTTTTCTGTTGGTACACTGTACGTTGAACTGGTGGGTGGTAGGAAGTAGGTATCTAGGAAGGCAACGGAAATCGTCTGAAATTCACAGTGGTCTTCATTACAACATTATCACCTTCACATATACCAATTAAGTTTTAGTAACTTTACTATTTTTCTAATTCTGATCTCTTGTTGCTTATGAAAGTGAAAATATTCTTTCAATTTTTTTATTGGTATTAGTATTGAAAACAATTCAAAATTAGTAATATCTGAAATATAGTTCTTTGATACGCGGACATACTGATCGACAAAGGTGTCGTATAAGAATATAGGTAACCTTTTTTAGTTGAAAAATTAAAAACACTCCTTATGACAACTTTAAGTACGTACGTTAAAAATTGAGATTGTCAAAAGCACGTGAACAATATTATACCAATTTCTTTCCAGTTTTTATTAGCAAATAATGACGTAAATAGTTTACAATTACTTTAAAAAAATTATTAAGTGCAATGCCGCCTAAAGGTAAAGTTAAAGGTAAGGGGAAGGAACCACCTCAGCCGGTTCAAGTTGCAGGCCCTCCACCAAAACCAAAGAAACCACCGCCTCCACCTGCATGCTTTACTAACGAGGACTTGGTTAAATTTAAGGAAATGTTTAAGGCTCATGACGAAGAGAATATTGATAAGGTAATAATTATTGGGAGAAAATATAAGTACGTAATCAAATAGCTTATGATCCCATAAGCAAATAGGATGTATAAGCAAATGGGACCATAAGCTATAATAATGCACTTTTAAAATATTTGTAATGCGCAGGTTCTCCAAAAGCTTTATTTAAAAATGTGATATGTATGGCTACGATATTATGAATTACTTGTAACCGGAGAACCATGTTAATTCGGAGTAAGGATATGCGGAATGTGATACATTAAGACGACCTCAGTGGTCATGTAAGCACACTGCTTCTTCCGCGGGTTTGATTCCTCGTACATTAGAAAATTGTATTCAATAGTACTACTTTTTTTATTGTCTATATTAGTTTCAGTGTTTTTGAAATAATTCTTAAAAAATGTATGCTATAATTATATTAACGAATTAAAAATGTGATTTTTTTAGGTTCCACTAGATGCTATTCCTTTAATGCTTAGAAAACTTGGTTTCAATCCCAAGGGCGAAGAAATTCGTCAACTTTTTGCATTATTTTTAGAAGACGAATTTGTCGATACTGTAGAATACCACGAGTGGTTGTTCATGATCGAAGCCAAGATGAATTGGGGAGATGACTTTGAACTTGCTGTTACCAAAGCTTTCGCTGCATTAGGACACGATGATGAAGAAACAGGCTTTGCTGATTTTGAACTCCTCAGACAAGAACTCATGACATGGGGAGAACCATTAACTGAAATAGAGTTTGCTGACTGGATAAAGTTGGCTGTAAAAGATAAAACGTATAACGTCGAAGATGGGAGAATCTGCTATCCGAAGTTTGTAGAAAACATGAACAATAAGGACGAGAGATATGCTAAAGAGCCGATAAACTTTTTTAAATTGGATCAGAAAACGTTAGCTGCGATGGCTATGAAAAAGGCGCAGGAAGAAAAGGAGGAACAGGAGAAAAAAGTAGCTGAGAGACTAGCTAGAGAAGAAGCCAAGCGATTGAAAATGATTGCTGATGGATTGTTGCCGCTGGACTAGAACGGTTTTTGCAAATAATTTTTAGTTTAGTCATTAGTAACGGAAAACTAAGTGCAACTGTAAACTAACTAAAAAAGCATATTAAACCTTTTTAAAATGATTTGTATTTGTAGCAGTGATTAGACTTTTGAAATAATATACATATATGTGAAGTGAGTGACGTTTATTTAAACTTGTATTACGAGTAGATATATTGTTTTTTACAAAGTATAGACTGCAAGAGTCCTCTTTAATTTCTATGATGCTGTCTAGGATGAAATGGATAAGATAGTGGCACTCATCTTGACAACTCTGTCCAAAATTTTAATCTGAATATTTTGGAGAACTACATATTTTAAAACATTAACAAACTAGTTGATACTAAAAAAACTAATTTATGTATGATGCATATGTGCTTGCAAAACACGTTATTTTGTGCGCTGTTTATTTTATAGTAGTTATTTATTCTTACATACATATTCATTTAAACAGTATTTAGACGGTAGTAAGGTCTGCATAATTTTTGCTTTACAAAGCAATGACACGGGCGTAATGTTGAACATTTTTCGCATGAACTCTTATTTATGTTAATAATATGGAATAGTACATGTTCATTAATTCAAGCAACTTTGTCACTTGTTACCGTTGTAGAGTACAAAGCGAGATGCGTTTATTTAAGCAACTTTAAATAATTGTTTTTAGGGTCACATAGGTTAGGCAGCACTAACTCTATGGCGCGGTTGTATATTCTATTAAATAGATACATAATTGAGAAAAAAAAATAGTCCTAATACTAGCTGTGCCCACGATTTCACCCGCCTTAAATTTCAATATAATATATATCCTATGTGTTATTCTGTAGCATAAGCTATATTACTGTAAAGTTTCATCATAATCCGTTCAGTAGTTTTTGCTTGAAAGAGTAACAAACATCCATACTTACAAACTTTCGCGTTTATAATATTATTAATATTACACTTATCTTTCACTTTACAGGCCATTAAACACTGGAACGAGTTACCCCTTGACATTAGGTCCAGCTCTTCAAAATTCACATTCAAATCCAAATTACGCAAACACCTTTCCCAGAACTAGTGTAGGCTCCTGTTATCCTTGTAGTATTATTCCTCCACCCAACCACCTCTATGTATCTGAATTTCCCTGTTGATTTGTATAAATTTATAATTGTATGTGTATTTGTATGTATGTATGTAGGTACGTACGTGTATGTAGTTATATTTATATATGTATAATTATTTATTCATATTATGTATTATAGTTTATAAGTATATTCGCATATGTATTTATATTTAATCATATTAAAGTGATCTTCTTATTATTTTATTTTTTTTAGATTAGAATTTCAATTTGTTAATGCACCGCCAACATGAATCTCTGTTTGCCCAATGGTTGACTGGGAGAAAATGCCTCGAGGTGTTAAGTCCGCCATGTGTACCTTTATTTATGTATTTGTGCATTAAAGTTTTAATAAATAAATAAATAAATAAATATAAAGATTTGATCTTTTCAAATCTTTATTAATCGCTTATTTTTCTTCTTAACTAAGCAAAAATAAACATTTTCAAATTAAAAGCGAAATTGGAACAAGCATGACATTTCATTAGGGTGACCAATTGTAATCATCTAAACAAGCATTTCCTTTACAATTTAAAACAAAAGATTTAAATTAATAATTTCTTATTATATTAGTACAGTTTGTTAAAGACCGAGCGAAAAGCAAATGTAAGTATTGGGTTTATCAAAACATTGACTGTGGACAATTCTTACTCTGACTACCCCATCTGTTACATATAACAATCGTAACAGTATGTTGATGTTATTTGACTGTTGTAGTTTCACGTAACTGTACAAATATTTGCCGGGCGAATCAATCTATTGAGCGCTTATGTACCTTCTAGACATCGATTTTTATGTAAAGCTAATCATTTAGCGATAAGTCATAGTATACTAAGTACGATTACCACCACTTGGTGAACCTTATGCTAATAAGCCACACTATAATCCAATGCTATAGGGGAAAGATGCTTATTAGTAATGTGGATTGATGGTCATCAATCCACATTACTAACGTAATTTTACTAAATTACTTAGTAATGTGGTAATTAATTACTAAATTGAAGAGGTCTCTTTGCTAGCTAGTAATGTCAGATTGATCTCCATGTGGTTCCTCTTGGAAATCATCGTGATAAAGTCCTGGTGAATTCGTTACGATCAGCTAACTGACCTGACCCTCGTGCTCATCTTATGATCCACCACTGGTGCTCTGACAGCGTAAACCGTTAGCGCAGACGGATGCAACATTCCATTATCATCTCTTAAAAAAGCTGGTCATTAACATTCAACTAGAAATATCTTTAGGACGCCGTCGATTGAATCCATAATCGTTCTGGGTGATATTTTTCCGGCTTTGTCGGATTTCAACAAGTATCAATTAATTATTAATTGGATGTCTAAGGCCGAATAATCCCTGGATTATGGATAAGCGTCTTCCCAAGGTAGGAATGTACTTACTGTCAGACTTTATAGGCAAAATATTAGATTGTACAATTTTTCTTGTCGATAAATTCGACAAACAGACTTTTAACTCGCATCTTTCTGCTATTAGCCTCGAATACATTCGATATTACAATTTTTACGTGTATTTACGCTTTGTTCCTCTAGTCGGCATCAATTTGAAGAGAAATGGAATTACTTACTACTCAACATTTCAGATTTTTAGTAATTTTTGGAAGATATTGATGATATGATTGCAAATAATAAAATTTAATTCCTTATTAATGTTGATTCATTTTATCACATACAGATTATATAGGTTTTTATTATAAGACATAATTTTCGATTTGTCTAAATAAATTCCTGTTTGTTTTAATTTTAAAAATGTTCCGAATAAATCCCAACTGATGGTGTCTCTATAATTGGCTGAATTCCAGGCGGGCTTGCAGAATTCTAAGGCGGGATTTGTCTACGATATAAGAGTATGCCTATAAAATGCTAACGTGACTTATGGACGAGCATGAGATAGCCAAACTGCTGTTATAAGATATAGTCGTTGGATTAGAATTTATAAAAAGATTGTCTATGCATAAAATAAATAAATAAAGAATCATGGACATGTTCATAGATACCAATATCATAAACTAGAAAGTGGTTTGTTTTGTAGCGCGTTGGTTATCATCTAACCACTATAGCGTTATATATGATATGAACAATTGTTGCTAGGTACTCAATTTCTTTCCTGTAGTATGTAGTTACTGAGTATACCGGTGGATTGATTGTACTATATTAGTAAGTTCATTTGATCGTATGCTACATGGCCTATTAGAAACGCGATCACTCAACGTGGAATCGTAAACTGAACTGAGTTACACTGGGAGTTAAATCTAAGTTATGTGGAGACGCGCTAGACGTAAACAAATGGAAGGGTGTCGAGTGTTGACAGAAATATTAAGTATAGGTAGAGTTTTTTACGTTTTCACGAATAAAAAGCTTAATAGAATTGGAAATTTGTCAAAAACTTATATTGCATCTAGATAATAGATACAGACTGTCTTTCATCTCAAAAAAAGCAGATGAAGTGCATGTAGGCATAGTTCGTTACGTTTTTACGAGAAAAAGGCTGAATGGATGTTAAGGAAATTTGACAAAAAGATAGATTGTATCCTGATGATAGATACAAACTATCTTCTATCTCAAAAAATGCAGACAGAGTCGCGGGTGATAGATAGTTAAGTAATAGCTAAGTTTTCTGATATGATATTTAGTTCACTACAGCTGCACGTTTGTATGTGTCAAATTGTTTTGTATTAAATTGTGTAAGATATTAAACTCCCCTTAATCAAATAGCTAATTAAAGACATAATATCGTGTACGTAACTAGTTTTGGTGATTGATCGTGTTCTAACCGCAGTAGAGCGATACAGGGAACAGATGTTACAAATATATACAAACAAGAAACTTATTTACATACAGATACAAGTGAGAGAGAAGGAATATTCCAAATAAAATGCTATACTAACGAAGCCGCGTGTTCAGCGTGGTTAGCTAGCTTACATCTTCTTTTTAACAGGAGAGCTTACATGAATCTAAATGTTAGTATTGAGTAAAAATTGAATCTGCGACCATTGAAAGGTAGGTGGTGTGTTAAACCGTTACGTCACTGATGCCATCTAGGAATTAAATATGGAGAAAACGAGCCGCGAGTTGTTTTATGGGTATTAGATAACTTTTTTTTGTAAATACATGAATAATGAACAGAATACACCCAAACCCACATAAACAATCGTACATATGAAAACAAATGCTTGTACTGTACGAATTTCGAACCTGCGATTGTTGGAAGAAAGGCGGTGTGCTAAACCGCAAGGGCACCGAAGCCGTCATATATATACATCATATGCTTCAACATTAATTCATAATAATTGCTCTCACGTAACACGATAAACAATTTGATCTAATACACGTTCGGGATTTACAAATTGTACACAAAAATAACAACCGAAAATCCAACGGGATTATTATTTAAAAAATCGACAAGTGCGAGACGCACCGCACAAGAAGGTTCTTCTGCATTTATTTGTCATTAAGTTGAAAAAAGAATAAAAGGAGGTTCTCAACAAGTAATGTAATATTTATTTAAATTTTATATACTTTATTCTTAAAGGAGAGCAAATTTAAATAAATGTTATATTACTATTTCTATAGATACTTGTGCCTCCTATCTTCTCTCTCTATCTAAATACTTGTTCTGTAAAAGTTTATTAATAGCGATAAGACCGCCTTTTGTAAAACATTTTTTCTTCCATTGTACTCTACTTATTGTTTTTTGTTTATGTGTGTGCAATAAAGATTGATTATTATTATTATATTTCATGGAGTCATGACATCTTAATCTTGGTGACGCACAAGTTTGTCATATGATGACATCCGTGATCCTGTTCATGTACAGGCGATAGTTACGATACTTACCAATAGGTCATCAGATTGTTTGTTATTCTAGTTTTTGTAGTTACATTAATTATTTTAGATTTTCCAATCAATAACTTAAAAAACTAAGTCATTTATGCGAAGTTTCTTAAAGTAAGTAATTCTAAGGGTTCTTTATTTACCTTTTGGATTTGGAATCCTAAATCCACTTCCTTATTATACTAATGGTAAACA